CATGACTGTTCCCTCACAAACTGAGGGATGACCAATGGAGATGCCAAAATTGAGGGTGAATATCAGCTATGGGTCCATATTCGGTCGATCTGATGTATGGTAATCGAGACGGTATTTCAAGGACGTCCGTGAAGGTTGCCGGTTCCCATAGAGCGGCATCTCGGAATGACACGAAATGTTACTCAAGGCTACGTAGACTTTTGCACCGGAAATCCTCCTGAGCATTAGACCAACAGACTATAGAAAAGACCAATCGATTCAAGGTCCTCAGAAAGGTAGATATTCATCAAAGCTCCAGCAGCTCATATGTCGTACCTAAAGTAATGGCAATAAAGTCGGGATTGCAATGGAGCCAATTAGAGACATGGTAAACGCCCAGAAGTCCCGGGTGATGCTGCCGAGGGGTGCGAATCACGTGAGACTCTCCACTTGCCGACCTGCTAGCCGCAGCCAGGGTCAGAGACTCGGAATGGACCACGGCATTCCTCCATTAGTCGCCCCTTCGAACCACTCACCATCTGCCTTCCGGCCTCCCCGCAGACCCAGCTCCCATCCACGCCCGCACGTCCCGCAATCTCCAATTACAGGGAGTTCCTCTAGTTCGATTGCTGGGCCAAATCAACCTGTGCGTTGCAGCTTAGGGTCGCTTATGACATCTGAGCCACATCCGTCGCTTGCTCTCTACCATCCAGCCGAATCTGAATGCCGTTGTGGTCCTCCGTTGCTTTCCAGCCTGACACTGTTCACCCGCTACCTCAGCTGCCTCGAATTATATATGAGCGCCTACTACCCTGTTGAAAATGGCTTACTTTACCTCTCTGTGTCTTTTCTATCTCGCCTACTTAGATCCAAGGTTACTTTTATACAGGTGATGCTGTGTTATTGAGTATTCGCCATACACACACTTCTTGCTTGGATTCCCGTCATTGGCGGACCTTCAGCCTCCTCCCGCAAACTCAACAGTTTAAGAATATTCAAGTCAATCGACCAAGATGACACACAGACAAGAAAAATATGACATCGTCATCGTGGGCGCCGGCCCTGTTGGTATTCTGCTGTCTCTCTGCATGTCCCGCTGGGGCTACAAAGTGAAGCACATCGACAACCGCCCGGTGCCTACCGCAACTGGCCGCGCCGATGGTATTCAGCCTCGCTCAACGGAGATACTTCGGAACCTGGGACTGAAGCGTCAGATTATGGCTTACAAGCCAGCTAAGGTGTACGATGTCGCTTTCTGGGATCCTCTTCCCGAAGGCAAGGGTATCCACCGCACCGGAAGCTGGCCTAGCTGCCCTCGGTTCATTGACACAAGATACCCTTTCACTACCCTTGTCCACCAGGGCAAGATCGAGAGAGTCTTTATTGACGAAATCGAGAAGGCTGGCACGAGAATTGAGAGACCCTGGACAATCATCGGGTTCAAGAACGATGGCGCGGACAAGAACTATCCCGTCCAGGTGTCGCTCAAGTGCATCGATACAAACGTCATTGAGACTGTTCGTACCAAGTACCTCTTCAGCGGTGAGGGCGCTCGCAGTTTTGTCAGAGAGCAGCTCGGCATCAAGATCCACCATAAGGATCCCATCTCTTATGTCTGGGGCGTCATGGACGGTGTCGTGAGAACAAACTTCCCTGATATTGAGGTAAGAATGGACTCTTCATTCAACCAGGAAAAGTGGCCTCATTTACTAATTCGTTTTATAATAGACCAAGTGCACCATCCACTCAGATGCTGGCTCCATCATGGTTATCCCGCGTGAGGACAACATGGTCCGTCTCTATGTCCAGATCGCCTCTTCCTCCGATCCCGACTTCAACCCAAGAAAGACCGCCACTGCGGAGGAAGTCCAGGAGACGGCAAAGAAGATTCTCAAGCCATACACTTTGGAGTGGGACCGCGTCGAGTGGTACTCTGTCTACCCCATTGGTCAGGGTATCTCCGAGAGGTATACATTGGACGAGCGCATCTTCATGGGAGGAGATGCCTGTCACACGCACAGTCCCAAGGCTGGTCAGGGTATGAACACAGCGTTCCACGATGCACTCAATATGGCCTGGAAGCTCCACGCCGTCGAATCCGGATTGGCCGACCGTTCCATTTTGAGCACGTACGAAAGCGAGCGCAAGGACATTGCTGAAAGGCTGCTGGACTTTGACAACAAGTATGCCGCCCTATTCTCCAAGCGTCGCCCGACAGCCGGTGAGGTCGGATCCGCGAGCCACACCCAGGCCGCCGCTGGTGCTGAGGAGGACGAATTCGTCAAGACTTTCAAGTCTTCCTGCGAATTCACCTCCGGATACGGCGTTGCTTACAAGCCCAATGTTTTCAACTGGAGTCCAAGCCATCCCGCTCAGTCGCCTCTGTTCAACATCCCTGACGTTAAGCTGACTCCTGGCCGCGCCTTCACCCCCACCACTGTGACCCGTTTAGCGGATGCCAACTTTGTGCACCTCGAGCAGGAAATCCCTGCAAATGGAGCATTCCGCATCTTCATCTTTGCCGGTAAACAGGCAAACACCAAGAAAGCGATCACAGACTTTGGAGCCAACCTTGAAAAGGAGCGGTCATTCCTGTCTTCTTACCGCCGTATTGATGAGATCTCTTTCTTTGAGCGTCATCTGCCCCACTCCAAGCTGTTCTCTATCTGCCTGATCTACGCTGCTCAGAAAAACGAGGTTGATGTGGAGGCCATCCCTCAGATCCTCCGCGATTACCACCACCACATCTACGCCGACGACATTCCAGACGTGCGCGTGCCTCTCGCCAAGTTTGCCGCCCATGAGAAGCTGGGCTTCGACCCCGAAAAGGGAGGTGTTGTAGTCACTCGTCCCGACAGCCACGTTGCCTGCACGGTGCAATTGGTGGAGGGCAGCGGCACTGTTGATGCTCTCAATGCATACTTCAACTCCTTCTCCACAAAGCCCCTTGGCCAGGACCAGCAAAGCCGCCTATAAGCAGATTTATTTAGTTGCAATCCTGCGTATCTTTGGCTTTGTGTCCATTGTCTTTTCCTTTCGGTCTTATAATTCGTTCCGGACGAACGATGACGACTTGCATTACTGGCGTTGATATCCATGTAATCTGCTTTTCTGTTCACATTTAATTAGAAGATAGCCAAGATAAAACATTCAGCAAGATATGAGAATTCCAGCACTGGTGCATGTGGGCGGTCAATCTTATCAGTACCTAAGGCAGTGGACCGAAGACCGTGGAATTTCTAGTACTTCATCACCTTCACCAATCACCCCGCACAGAACATACCCACCTAAAGACTTCTACATCGCATTCCTCCCTCGCTAGGTTCTGTTTAAAAAAGGCTGATAAGACTCATATCAATCAAAATGCTTTCGCTTCTCCTCTCTGCTGAGCTTACAGGGTAAGATAACACAAGCGAGTTATATATTTATTCTTCTTACTTCCCTCGGTTTGCATCTCTCTGCCTATATCAGTTTCCCCGCACGCCTCGATCATGAGATTCATGCCAGTAGCTCATCACTCAATGTAGGGTCACCGACCTTCGGCCCAAGGACACGGAGCAAGAACCATACTTTTACACCTTCAAGGTACAATGCACTTCCTGCCGCGAGGTGCATCCAAACTGGGTCAGCTTCAATCGCTTTGTAAGTTTCCATAACACCCAACACTCCTCTTTACAAACAGTGGTGAGCGCTGTACTAACAGCTACTGATGCAGGAGCAACATGAGATTCCTGGAAGTCGGGGCGAGGCCAACTTTGTGTGGAAATGCAAGCTTTGCCAGGTTAGTCTTTTCCTAGCTATTATGTGCTCTGCTGGGCTTGCCATTTTGAGCCATCTCGTTTGTTCTTGTGGTCGGTTCTACGAGACCCAAGGAGATAACGAGATGCGGAATTTAGGCAAGCTTTTTATAAGGCTATTCGCTAACCATGCTTAAAACCAGAAAACCCATTCCGCTTCGATCGTCAACGGTCCGCATGCCTATCAGGGGGATGAGAAGCGCAAGGGCAGCAGAGTGATCGAGATCGACTGTCGTGGACTGGAGTTTACGGAGTTCAAGCCTGATGTGAGTGTAATCATCATTGAGCCAGGCCAGATTTCTGACGATGGATGCGCAGGGAGAATGGGAGGCAAAGGGCATTGATTCGTCCACGCCTTTCACTGGTATAGATTTGTCCGAGGGAGAATGGTATGATTATGACGAGAAAGCCGGGGAGGAGGTCTCCATCAAGGAAATCAACTGGGAGGTGGGAAGAGGTTGAGATGTAGTAGCCGACGATTTCACGACTGAGAGGAGTATTTCTGTAGCATTCTGTGTCAGTATTTTCAGCTCATTCCTAGCTTTTATTTCCTCCATTTGTCACATCGTAAATGGGCTTCTTATGCAGAAGGCTGCGGCGGACGCATTGCTCTCAGTCGAAAATTCTCCTGACTATCGCAAGAGGATGATGAATCTGGTAGACTAGGTAGAATCAATTCAATTCACTCATCGGCTTGTTTTTTCCTTTTTGACTTCTTCCCTGTTGACAGAGAGATGTTCTCAAGGCGGTGATGCAACTCGACATGTGATTGGCCGAGCGCCGCGTCCAGCAGCATCACATTTTCGCGGTCTTATAACCTTCAGCGGTCGATTGGGCGTACTGCGGTAGCTCCGACCACTTTTCACCTCGACACGCGACCGGTCCAGCACTTTGGATTCCGGATAATTCGTTCTTTTCAGCTGGTCAATCAAGACTCATTACACACTACATATTGTCCCCCTTTTTGGAAGGGCCTCCCTCTGTCGTACATCTCGGATTCCTGGTGAATCAATCACAAGGCGCTTCACATCACCACCATGAGTGTTCGTTGCTCCTCCATTCGTCCATTTGCTCCAGATTTGAGGAAACTTGTTATTGACATGTATTGACGCACTCTGCAGTTCCAACCAGTTAACCCCCGACCCTTTCTGCAAGCTCGGTACGGCTGCCCAACCTCCCCTGTTCCCCTCCGATTGCGCTTTTATCTCTATCTAGTACGAAGGAATGAACACATCTTTTCTAATACAGCGTCTTAGGGTTGGCACCGAGCTCATCATTCGTCTCAAGTGGGGCCAGACAGAGTACAAGGGCAAGCTGGAAAGCATCGATTCGTACATGAATGTCCTCCTGAGGGATACGGAGGAGTTCATCGATGGAAAGAACACGGGTACACTTGGTCTTGTGCTGATTCGGTACGTTTCGGATTGCGGCGTCCCCATTCTCTTCCCTGAACATGTCCTAACTGACACGAACCAGGTGTAACAACATTCTCTGGATGGGATCGGCAGACAGCGTTGAGATGACGGATTTGGGACTGCGATAGAGAAGAGGAGGTGTCAATGGGCTTCATTTATGGAATTCCGACTGAGGACGAGGATACCTATACCTACGGAATCGCTCCTGACGAGGCAAATGTCGCAAAAACGAGGAAGGGCTATACACCAATTGATTAACAGGTCTACGACGAGCCTCGGTTTCTTGTTTGTTCTCTGATCTCTCTGGTACAAGGCGTTTTTAACCACTGCTTTTAAATATGATTTGCAGATTAAGGCTGGGCAGAGAACGAGAGACCTACATGTGTGGTATATTAGACACGGGCTTGCTCTGGTCATTCCTCCAGTTATGTATGGTAATGGTAATACCATCATATAATCGTACGATGAATGCGAAGCCTCTGGACATCTCGCGACAGTAAGTACTGACTGGATGATAAGTTCGCTCATGATTCCAATGGCGCTGTAGCTGCAGTCTGGCTGGTTTTCAGCTGGAAGTTCTACACAGGATGATCTTGACCATCGCACCAACGTGCACTCAACCAACACCGAATCAATAATCTCAACCTGAACTTCCAATGTGCACACAAGGTTCAGGGTTCCCCAATACTTCTTAGATGCGTAACACAGCCTGTGCTTCAACTATGCCGATTGACTTTGATCACGGATCGCTTCTACCACTGCCACCTGGAGTACGGTAGCAGGTCCTGCATATAGATCCTTCAGTGCATCACGAGCTATGAAAGTGAAACTCCGTCGAGGTGTATAGTAAGTCTACTTGATATCGCCGTATGCGTTCTGTGTTTTACATATCAAGAATTAAAAATTGCGTATTCGTTCTCAGAGTGTCCGAGAGGTCCGTTGACGATCTGTGAATATTCTTACAGTCAACTGCATCATGAATGCTCAATCTATTGTATCGAACAGAGACGACGACAGTAAACGATTCTGTCGAGATCCTGCCATGACGAAATGCATAGCGAGGAGCAGGCCAGGAGGTTGATATACCACTTGGATCATGAGATGTTATCCCGCTCGAGTTACCCCACTTCGTCACCAACTCGTTTATCGAACTTCTTTGAACATGTTCGCATTAATGAAAAGGAGCTCCAAAATTGTACGGTTAATGGGTACTTAAATCACATCAGTCACGATGAGCAAACAACTTGAACCTTCAGATGATACCTCCGACTCCTACTACAACCTCGGATCATATCACCGACGCGTGAGCACCGCTAATCACCAAGCTCAGCTATGGTTCGACCGCGGGCTCATCTGGACATACGCCTTCAACCATGAAGAAGCGGGCCATTGTTTCGAGAAATCCATCGAATTTGACCCCAAGTGTGCCATGTCATACTGGGGTCTCGCTTACGCCCTCGGTCCAAACTACAACAAACCATGGGAGGTCTTCGATAAGCAGGAGCTCGAATCGACAGTCCAGCGCACGCGCAGGGCTGCAGAAGATGCAAAAGCAAACGCAAAACCAGCGTCGCCGGTAGAGGCGGCTCTGATCGACGCCCTGCAGTATCGGTACCCGCATGACCGGCCGACGGGGGACTGCTCATCATGGAACCAGGGCTACGCCGATGCCATGGAAGCGGTGTATAAACAGCACCCAGATGATCTAGACGTCGCGGTGCTGTATGCAGACGCCTTGATGAATCTTACGCCGTGGGCGCTCTGGGATATAAAGACTGGGCAACCCGCGCCGGACGCGCGCACGTTAGACATAAAAACAGTCCTCGATCGTGCGCTGGCACAGAAGGGAGGACTCTCTCATCCGGGTCTGCTGCATTTGTACATCCATTTGATGGAGATGTCAGGGTCTCCGGAGAGCGCATTGACGGCCGCCGACCACCTACGGGGCCTGGTACCTGACGCAGGGCATCTGAATCATATGCCTACGCATTTGGACATTCTCTGTGGCGATTATCGCCGAGCAGTGGCCTCCAACTCGGAAGCTATCCGGGCGGACGAGAAGTTTCTCGCTCGTGCAGGTCCCGTCAACTTTTATACCCTCTATCGATCTCATGATTATCATTTCCGTATCTACGCGGCCATGTTCGCCGGACAGTCGAGGGTAGCCTTGGACACTGCCGCGGAGCTGGAGGCCTCCATTCCCGAAGAACTTTTACGGATCGAGTCGCCCCCGATGGCAGACTGGCTCGAGGGGTTCCTCGCGGTGAAAGTGCACGTGCTTATCCGATTCGGGCGCTGGGAGGATATCCTTGCTCTGGAACTGCCACAGGACCAAGATCTCTACTGCGTGACTACGGCAATGATCCACTACGCCAAAGGCGTAGCATATGCTGCTCTCGGACGCGTAGACGAGGCAGACAAGGAGCGGACAGAATTCCACAAAGCCCTCGACCGTGTCCCTGCCAGCCGGGCGCTATTCAACAACACCTGCCGGGATATTCTGGCCATTGCGGAAGCCATGCTCGACGGGGAGATCGAATACCGCCGCGGGAATATCGACGCGGCCTTCAATCACCTGCGACAGTCCATCGCGCTGGACGATGGTCTTCCCTATGACGAGCCGTGGGGCTGGATGCAGCCCACCCGGCATGCGTATGGTGCTCTCCTGCTCGAGCAGGGCCAAGTAGAGAAGGCTGCGGAAGTGTACGGTGCCGATCTGGGGATGGACGATACCCTGCCGCGGGCCCTGCAGCATCCGAACAACGTGTGGTCGTTACATGGGTATCATGAGTGTTTGACGAGGCTGGGACGGTTGGCAGAGGCACGGATCATCCAGCAGCAATTGAAACTCGCTGCAGCGACGGCAGACGTGCCGATTCGGTCTTCGTGCTTTTGCCGACTGGAGTGCTGTACATAGTCAAGCACACTGCGCTCTTGTAGTGTAGCATCTGTCCATATCCGTAACGATGAAACGATGAAATGATTGACCATAATCGTCAAGGTGTAGATTCGCTCTGCCGATCACAGATATCGTCGCGTCATAGTTATGATCGGCCGGACGATTTCCGAGCTGCTTCTTAGCATATAGAGTAGTTTAGTTAAGCATCACCATCTTCATTCTGCGACCAGATTGTTGAATTTGCATATACCCAACAAACAATGCCGGTTCCCGTCCTATAAATGACCATTGATCTGAGAGGTAGTTGCGGGATGCATACGGAGTATTTCCATCAATACCCCTGGTAGTTTCCAAGGAGATGAAGACGTAGTGATCGCCAGATCAACCTAACTAGTGCTAAGAATAAATAAGTGCTGCAGATGCGGAAGATCCACATCAAATCCCAAAGAAGCAGGCTTGCCGAGGATGGCCCTCGTTCTTATTGTCCGCCTAAAATGATTCATTGTGATTACGATGGATAATGCTTGTTTCTGCAATGTGTGGTAATGCAGGTACACAGTGAATCATCAACTGCTAGGATATAAAGGGTGCAAGAGAGTAATACTAGGCCTAATCTGCCTGCTTCGTCTGGAACTGATTCTGAATATCACTGAATACCGACTGAGGAGGACGGTCAACTTCAGTCAAACTATGCAAATATGATGATTTGGCATTAACAAACAATTCACAACACTCCACTATGCGGAAAAGAAACAATGAAGATTGCCTCTTTTGATTTTTCCAGAAAACGTGGATCAAATTATTCCTCCCACAAGTCCGCTGTTTGATCCCCATTGGCCAATTGCTCGGCGGAAAGAATCAGCCACTGCTGCCGCTCCCGCTTCCCAAAGTGGTAATTCCAGGTAAGTTCCAGTCCACGGTGGATTAAATTTCTGAAGCTTAGTCAAGAACTTGCCTCATGGCATCACATTTAAGGATGGATGTCTTTCAGTATTGATTAAAGGGCGTTTTAATCATTGGTGATTACTTGCAACATGCCACCCTCCCTCTCCAATGATGTCCTACTTCTAGTCGGGGAGCTTCTGGAGGATCACCAAGACCGCTATAATCTCCTCTTCGTGTGCCGTCATTTTCATGGCTTGTTCCGTCGAGTCGTGTACCACTATGCTGCGCTGAAAGATTGCAGCCAGACGCGCTCATTTTTGAGTGCCGCGTTGCGACACCCCGAGCTGGCTGGGGCGGTTCGCGCTTTGGATTTGAGCGGGTGGCGAACGCAGTCTGAGACTTACGAAAGCAGCAGCGTGGCTGCAGAGGAGATGGAAGTGTTTCGCAATTGGGCTCAAGAAATCAGCCACTCAGACGAGGAGTACATCCAGTGGGAGCACGATCTGCAGCGAGATGTCGGAGAGGCCTGGATGGCCCTTCTCCTGCCGCTGGTGAGGAACGTCCAGCAGCTGCGGTTGGTATATCCCAGGGAGAACAAGTATCTCGACCGCATGATGCAGCGGGCCGTCCGGCGAGAGAAGCCGTTCGACACGCAGCCCGCCTTCCGTGCTCTGCGAGACGTCTCCTTGGGTCATTTGGACGACACGCTAGACAGCAAGGGCACCTACGCCCCGTCTCAGGTACTTCCATTCTTCCAGCTACCATCAATGCGCGCCATCACAGTCGATTCGGTCGTTGAATCGACCTCTGCGGATGAGCAGCCGCAACCAGAGCAAGAGCAAGAGCAAGAGCCATCGCCCGCCTCACCGATGTCTGAAATCGTCTTAAACTCCAGCAGCGGCGCCAACGGCATGACAAGCATTGTCGCCGCTTGCTCTGCCCTTCGATCATTCAAATACCAGCACTCGGACGGCCATCTGCTCGCCGAAGGCTACCAGCCTGCTGCCTTCTACCGCTCGCTGTCTGCCAGCAAACATACCCTGCACACACTCTGGCTGGACAGCTGCGGGGTGCATCTCCCCTTCACCATTACGGGTGTTAACGAAACGCACGAGGAGTGGTTCGGGTCGCTGGCCGATTTTACGAACCTGAAGGATGTGCGGATCCGGTTGCCGAATCTTTTGGATATCCGGTACCAGGCTGAGCCGTCGGTTCCTCTGACGGAGGTCTTACCGGCTGGAGTGGAGACGTTGTATGTGGAAGGATGCAAGGAGAATTCGTTGGCGATGTTGGTGAACCAGTTGAGGACGCTACTTAGCGCTAGCCACAATGGCGGTGTTGACGGTAAAAGTGGACAGTCATCTCGCTTCAAGGACTTGAAAAAGCTGGAGATCGAGGGAATGTTCCACGATGAGGAGGATTATGAGGATTCTGGATACGAGGGTTCTGCGGCTGGTGAAAAGGTCATCAAGCCGCGGGTTTACGAGATGGTGGGACCCTTGCGCCGGGCTTGCGAACTCTCCGGGGTGGGCTTGTTCATTCGGGACCGTGTGTGCCCGGAGAGTATGAAATGACTGATATGACATTGTGACTTGATGATACCCTGGCTTAGACATAGATGATAGAGATATTACCCATTCTTGCAATTCCTACAAGACGAGCCATGATTGCCTCATCCAAACATGACTTCAATTTAGATCTATTGTAAGGAAGGATAAAACGAAGTCTGCCTGGTCGATTACCACAAGGATGCTCTTTCGAGCCTCGGTCAGATGTAGATGCAAGGGTCTATCGCCATTCACGCAAGGAGGATCTAATCCAGTCTCGAAGGCTCACCGGAGAGGTGCGATGTTTCATTTTGAGGTTCCTTCGCAGCGGCCAAATGAATGGTTGCACTGCATCTCTGGCTGATGTTACCTAGTCATCAATTTCACTTCTGGAGATATATAGCAAAACCGGAGGCCATTGCCCTCGCGAAGGAAACAGCATTGCAAACTTGGTAAACAACTCAAGAGTGGGTAACAGCAAGATGTCACCCGATACATCCGACCTCGACCTCGGAACGCGGCCGGCGGTATCCCTCAATCGAGGAGAAGGGTATAAAGAGCAACCTGAAACTCCGGACGAAGAGCCATTCGGAGACGAAGAAGGCGCAGAGGTCAGGTACCGAACGTTGGAGTGGTGGTTTGTCAGCCCCGGTTCAGCAGAAGGCCGACAGAGTCGATCTGACGTGGCATGTGAACAGGAGATGCGCGATAGGTTTGCAGCCTCTGCTGTCAGCTCTCCTTGAACTAACGCCGGTGGCTAGTCATGCTGGCTGGGGGCACATCTCTAGGCATCCTAACGCTTCCCTCGGCTGTGGCGACACTGGGAATCGTCCCGTTGGTCTTCCGTCTCCCGCCCCTGGTCCTTTATCAATGGCTAACTGTGAATTGACAAAGGGGCGTGATACTGATCGTCGGCATTGCTATCCTCACTGTTTACACCGGCTGCGTAATGGGGCAATTCAAGCAACGGTATCCACATGTTCATAGCATTGCGGATGGGGGCGAGGTACTCTTTGGCTGGATCGGGCGCGAGGTCCTGGGGACGGGGCTGCTGCTCTGCCTGGTGTTTGTGATGGGAGGACACATTCTAACCTTCACTGTCATGATGAACACACTGACCGACCATGGCACATGCAGTATTGTTTTCGGGGTGGTGGGGCTGCTGATTTCGCTTATATTGAGCTTGCCGCGGACGTTTAAGAGGATGTCATGGTTGTCAGTTATTTGTAAGATTCGTCATATGAGCAGTGAAGAGTTGACACTGACCGATGACTGCAGCGTTTGCCAGTATCGTTGCGGCAGTCTTGGTCACAATGATTGCGCTTGGTGTCCAGCGGCCGCCGAATGTAAAGGTCGAGGTGACCAGGCCGACTAGTCTGTACAGAGCGTTTCTCGCAGTCACGGATATCGTGTTCGCTTATGGTAAGTCTCTATTGATCAACTGCAGCTGAATCATTGATCAACAACGGCAGCCGCCCATCCAGCCTTCTTTGGCTACATTTCCGAGATGAAAACTCCCACCGACTGGCCGAAGACGCTGTGTTTTGTTGAAGTCATCAACACGACCTTGTACACAGTCACTGGGGTTGTTATCTACCGGTTTGCTGGCCAACACGTTGCTTCACCGGCACTGGGCTCATCCAGCCCTTTGATGGCCAAGGTTGCGTATGGAATTGCGATTCCAACGGTATGAACTTCAGGATGATAGCATTTGATCTACCTGGAAACTGACGTTGTAGATTGTGATTGCCGGGGTGATTAATGGACACATCGCCTGCAAGTACATTTATGTCCGCCTGTTCCGGGGTACCGAGCATATGCACCAGCGCAGTCTGTTTGCGATAGGGACTTGGGTGGCAATCTCGGTGGTGCTGTGGACGATAGCCTGGGTCATTGCAGAAGCAGTTCCTGAGTTCAATAACCTGCTGAGCCTGGTCGTAAGTTGCCGTTGCCCATGCCGGAGCGATTGCATGTCTAACAATACTACAGACGTCACTGTTCTGCAGTTGGTTTTCGTGTGCGTATCCTTTTGAGAACAGAGAGAGGTGCCTTGCTAATTACTTAGATGGACTATGTGGTGCCTTCTGGCTCTTCATCAACAAAGGTCTTTGGTTCTCGTCGCCGAGGAAAACATTCTTGGCCATTGTCAATTTCACCCTGATTGGAATGGGTGCATGTCTGGTAAGTAGTCTTCATCTTCTTGCATCTCGTACTGATGGGTCAGTGTGGCCTTGGACTGTATGCGTCTGGCCGAGCAATCAGCGAAGAGTCAGCTGGTCGCAGTTTCTCCTGCGCTAGTACTGCATAGAGCTGGGGACATTGATGTAGGTGGATTGTGGGCAATTGAAACACAGTGATCAAATTGTTGTCTGTAGTTTGACATGACCCATCACTGAACCGGCGGAAAGAAATATGCAGAATCATAGTTTGACAGGCGAAGTTTCCACGTCGAACTCTGTTGTGCAAAGCAAGAACGTGTCTCGAAGAGCCTGGACGGCATTAGCTGAGGGAAATCATTGAAAGGAAGGCACAACGTACAGACAAGCGATACTTCTCATTGATCGCTTGATAGTCCTCGCCAGCCAGCATATCGCAGAAGTGCCTGATGGACGGGTAATGCACCAGCGAGATTTCGTTCCACCAATCTGTCTCTGGTCGATCGAGGCTTCCCCGCGAGTCGACCTGGGCGGTCGAAGCGGGTCTGATCACATTCCCTACGAGCTTTGCATTCCCGCCGCGCTTACCAGCGACAGGGATGAAAGCCTGTCCGTATTGGTAGTAGCTTTTCTTTCCGTTGGGGTGGTGGAAATGCAGCAGATTTAGCATGGTGACTGGGCCATCGTGTGTACGCGTGAGGGTGTCCATAAAAGCTAGTAGATCTGGTGAGAGTTCCAGATTCTTTGAGGAAGGCTTCTGGTGGGCATTGGCCAGAGAGCCGGTTAGAGGGATGGAGGAGGCGGCTCGTTTGAGAGATTTGTCGCGGTCATCGTAGTTGGATAGAAGCTTTGAGGGGATACCGACGGCGAGACGGTACTCCTGTTGCACGAGGGGTTGTAGGTTAGGCGGAAGTGATTCAAGGGCTGCTTCTTGGGTCAACGAGGACGGCTGAATGAGAACAAGGAGATCCCATTTTGTGGTCGTCAGCAGACGGGAGTCAATGAGGGTGGGAGGAATAACGATGTGTTGTGGACGAGAGGCGAGAATGATCTTGACGGCGGAGGATTGGCGGAGCTGGCGAAGAAAGGACTCGGCGGTGGTTGAGGGAGCAAGAGCAAGGAGATGCAGAGTGAGACCAGGCATGTTGATGAATTGTGCTGTTGATATTTGTTTCAATCTTATATGTGATATCAGCTATTATTGATTCAACACAAGATAGTCAATTTGATGCTTTTATCTCAATCAGACAACCGAGGTAGATTACATCAAGAGAGTGCGGGGAATTTCCCGAGGGCCATTCTATATTCTTGAAGTCAGTAAGACAATCCCACTAGATAGTAGAAATAGCTACAAGACGCGGATATTCATCTATATCTATCATGCTGGTACAATACGGAGGAATCGAGATATCTCAAGTCATAATGAAAAGAAGGAGTCCTGGCTACGGAGTAAGCTCGACTCATATCGCAGTTAGATAGCAATCAGTATCAGTCCTCTAAGTTCAATAATAGAAGATCCTCTCTTGGCAATTCGGCTTGGTCAGAGTTCAAAAAGAATGGAATTCAACAGTCCATGTCAAATCCAAATATTTATGCTCGCTTCGAGCTACTAGTATTACGTACACGGTATCCTCTCCAGCGATCTAAGCAATGGCCTAAGGAAGCCAAAGCTGATTTAAGGTTGAATCCTTTGGGATGACAGACTAGACAGGAAACCAGTGCGACCACATGGTGCAAACTCTGAATATAATCCAATAATTGCGGTAGATCAATGTCCTTGTGTTTGATAGCCAAAGCCAGATTGTCATAGATCCCGAATATATCCCGTTGACCGGGATGAGCAGATCATAAGCAGATCAGCAAGTAGATCGAAATGAACTAGGGTTCGTCATATTATATTACCAAGTATTATTGAAGAATCGACGAGACTATTGGAAAGAATTGAATAACCCAGTCATCTGCAGCAGCGGTTTCATTCTACTCCGTAAAGTATCTCGTATCAAGTCCAAACTTGCATGCTGCATTAAGTAATAGATTGGTCAAGACTGATCGCGTTTAACTTTGTTAGATCCGGATGTTTTCCCCTGAAGAGCTTTCCCCTCCTGCGGCTCTCAACGCCGCTCCATCCACAGACCAATCGACATCCACACAGGAACTGCTGCTCAAGACAGTGAGGGCTCGCCTCTGACATCCGTGGTTTGGACATCAATCCCCCACTAGAAACGCGTTCATTCGTGGCTGGTTTTCAATGACACGATCTGCAATGTACCGACTGGGTAAGGAACCACACGAGGAGGGGATAGGGGATCCCACATGGTCTGTTTCCTACCAAGTCCATGGCTCACCGAGGCAAGTTTAATCGCTGCTAATGTTGTTGAGTATCCAGATCCCAACCTCTCAGAATCGACGCCAAAACAGCAATCCTACTGAGGCTATGCAGTAATCCCGTATTGTGCGAGTCCACCCTGGCGCCGGAGTACTCCGCTCTCTGTACCATAAAACCGCCCAAAGCCTGGGCCTTTGGGAGGAGACGCATGGCGGCATGGCATCCATGGCACGCCGCACGACTCGCAATAGTAAACTCTAGCTAATCAGACTAGAATTTTCTCACTGCCGATTATCGACGGATTATCCTTATTAATGACTCGGTCGCTCGCTCTCTGTGCCCATGCTTTCTCTAACCAGACTCTCTTCAAGCCGGCCATCACCCATGCCTCGGCATCACCATGCTCAACGGTCGCAGTGAGGCGATTGTCGCCGCCACCTCTGTCTTTCTGGCCCTATCGCTGGTCACCGTGTGCCTGCGATGTTTCGTTCGTGCGCGAGTGGTGCGCGCTTTTGGCCTGGATGATTGGACGATGGTCGCCGCCATGGTAGGTTTTCTGCGCCTCAATTGATTTCGTCCAGCAGCGAGCTGACGAGTAAGGCCCTCAACCTAGCATTCGCCATTTGCACTCTCGTGGGTTGCTCTTATGGGATGGGCCAGAAGACCGATTACTTTGAATCGCACCCGGACTATTACCGTCGAGCTCTACTGGTATGAATTCTAGGTCGAAAGACAATTACACATGCTAATGGTACAAGTGCTGGTGGCTCGGTCAAGTCTTCTATGTCATCACCTGTGTCGTCGCCAAAATGTCCATCATCATCTCCCTCCTGCGCATCACCATTAACCGAGTGCATATCCTCATCCTGTATGCCGCCATGGGGCTGGCCCTGGTTGTGGGCCTTCTGTTCTTCTTTTTCACCATGTTCGAATGTAAACCGGTCGACTACTTCTGGAACCGATCCAGCAAGCCGGGCTCGTGCCTCGATACGGATATCCTCATCGCCATTGCGTATACCTACAGCGTGGGTGCGGCCGTTACCGATTTTACGATTGGAATATTGCCGGTATTCATCATCTGGTCTCTGCGCATGAACGCCCGGACGAAGATGGCCATTGCAGGTATTTTAGGGATTGGATGCATTGCCAGCGCGGCAGTCATTGTTCGAATTCCGTTTGTTCACAATTACAAGGACCACGACTTTTTCTATGCGACCTACCAAGTGAGCGGTCACTCCGAGGATGATGGAATAAAAGCTAACAAATAGCAGATCTCAATCTGGAGTAACGTCGAGGCCGGACTGGGCATCACGGCAGGTTCGCTGACGACCCTCCGTCCTCTGATTCGCTTTCTTCGTGACGGCTCTTCGGCCTCACGAAGTCATCAACGAACACCAGGCTCATTTCCACTATCCGGAAATATGCCCAAGGGGCTCACGCGCCGGTCGAAGCCCGATGAGGGGGTTGACGACGCCCGTCGGCTATGGACGGGAATGGCGGACGAAGAGTATCAGGGCATCACAACCACGATTATTACAGGGAGCCATCCCACAAAGCGGGGAGAGAGCGAGGACAGTTTAACCAGTTGATTTATATCTGTATTATATGATTAATAGATTTTGGGTTCATTCCATCATAGGTTCCACTGTTCCTTTGTACCATTACCCCATCGCTGGTACCTCTCTACCCCTCTCCAACTCAATTCACGCTGGATTACTTGGTAAGGATCACGCTTGCTTTATGTCATAACAGCTAGCGAGAAACTAGCGAATGGGGATGAGTGCATCGTTTGACAACGTGGATAACGCTTAGGAAGGATTGACTAAGAGTTAGCAATCCCTCCCAGAGCAATCAGATGCATCAGAACAACAGAGACCCATTAGAAAGACTTTGGTCATACTTTACTGATCCTTTACTGATGGTGATTTCTCCGAGGGGCTGAGTTAGCTCACTACGAAGGTACTCTCTCAGGATGTACCCTGTTAGCCACCTCATGACATCATCAATGCCATCACTGCTCCGCTCATTCCCGGGGTATATAACTACCCCCTCTTCTCTCATCTCTCATTTACAATTATAACCATCCAAACATTTACTAGTTTATAACGATAATACTGTCAAAATGCCCATCCCCGTCCCCGCCGCCTCCTCCCTCCTCGACCTCCTCAGCCTCAAGGGCAAAACCGTGGTGGTAACCGGCGCCTCCGGCCCCCGCGGCATGGGCATCGAAGCCGCCCGCGGCTGCGCGGAAATGGGCGCCAACATCGCCCTCACATACGCCTCCCGCCCGGAAGGCGGCGAGAAGAACGCAGCCGAGATCGCCAAAACCTACGGCGTCAAGGCCAAGGCCTACAAGTGCAACGTGGGCGACTGGGAGAGCGTCCAGAAGCTGGTCGCGGACGTGATCGCCGAGTTCGGACAGATCGATGCCTTTATCGCGAATGCGGGGCGCACCGCCAGCGCGGGGATCCTGGATGGCTCCGTGAATGACTGGGCGGAGGTGATTCAGACGGATCTGACGGGCACGTTTTACTGCGCGAAGGCTGTCGGCCCGCACTTCAAGGAGCGGGGAAAGGGCAGCTTCGTCATTACGAGCAGTATGTCGGGCCATATTGCGAACTATCCGCAGGAGCAGACGAGCTACAATGTTGCCAAGGCGGGGTGCATTCACTTTGCCAAGTCGCTGGCGAATGAGTGGAGGGATTTTGCCCGCGTCAACAGTATCTCGCCGGGGTATATCGATACCGGCTTGTCGGATTTCGTGGACAAGAAGACGCAGGACCTGTGGCTGAGTATGATTCCCATGGGCCGCAACGGGGACGCGAAGGAGCTCAAGGGCGCGTACGTGTATCTGTGCAGCGATGCCAGTTCCTACATGACCGGGACCGACCTGCTCATTGACGGGGGGTACTGCATTCGTTGATGCTATTCCCTTCCATTGAATTCAGTTCCATTATATATAAGAAATACACCTATGCTACGTTTCGCTCCGCAGAAATTCAATAATCAGAAGGCCCAGCCACATCCGTAGTCACCATCCCACTCTCAATATAAACCCCCGACCAGAACCAATCCTCGGCCGGCGCATTCACCCCATTATCCAACCTCAGCTCCCCCACATGCCAATCCTGAGAATCAGTAAACGTATTCGCACCAATATTCTCCACAACCTTCTTCAGCGCCTCCGCCCCCGTCGACGCCCACAGGCCAACGGTTTTCGCGTCGAAGTCGATATCGTACGCAAAATTGTACCATGTCCCGGGGACCAGCTGCGTGTCCCACTTCGTCTGTCCGCCGACCATCCAGCGGAGGGTATTATCATCGGCAGTACCGCTGAGCCGGCCGTATTTCAGTTCCGTAAAGTGGTTCTAACATCTCATCAGCCTCACACTCACACACAACTAGACAGCTGGGTGCTGGGGGAGAAGGGGCAGGGGGGTACCTCAAAAAAGGCAATCTGATGCTCGAGACCCGGATCCGGGGCGTTGGTTTCTCCAGTCGACACCGAGAAGTGATAGTACAGATGGCCCTGGCCTAGGTTGACGCCTGCGGCTTTCTGGGGGATGATCTCGCTGCGCATCATTGTTTGGCCGTTCCAGGAGGAGGAGGAGTCCTTCGCCTTATTAGTATTGCGTTTGCATAGGATAGAGGAAGAGGCGGAGGTACAATAGTGATCCGGATGCCCTGGGCATCGACCTTGGAGGCTGGGTTCTTGAACGCAGGCGAGAGGCCTAGGTAGTGAGGGGTTGGCTGCGAGCCGTGGATGTACCATTGGTACGGGGGGATTTGGTTAGACCAGGACCCTATTGATTGTCAGTATATAGCCATGGATATAAGTGAAAGGGAGGGTACATTGGTCAAAGTGGTCGACGGTAAAGTTGGCGTCGAAGAAGCCGTTCCAGATCACGTCGCAGCGGACGAGGGGGAGGAACAAGAGCCAGGGTTTCATCTTGTCTTGATACGATGAGTTTTATTCAATTGTCTGTTGAGTTGACCGAGAGATAGAGAGTGACATAGAGTGATATAGAGTGATGGCCATGTTTTTATATACAAGTGTCTCATGCTGAAACGGCTAAATAGACGCCAATGTCCAGAGACATCGGGTTTCATCGAATCCTTCTGAAGTCAAATAAAGTAAAATAAAGTAGCCTAGAATACTCTGCATCTATCATACTGTTCGTCAATCCATTCATCAAATCATATCATACCAGATGATCTGCGTCTCATATTCCCAATCAAGTACGGGGTTAATATCCTCTGATTGATAATGTCCTGCATTTATCCAGCGGACCGCTGGTCCGACACTTGGTGAATCCCTCAGGATCAATGCAATCAACCCGCGACGTCAAAAGCTGAAGATTCAGCCTTGTTTAATTTGAATTTGTCGTCCCCCGAATCCGTCGCGACGTCAACCACCTCGGCAAAATGCATCCGGGGCAGGCTGCGCGCGACGCGGGGCGGGTCGAAGATGCTCTTTGACTGGATGAAGATCTCGTCGATCTCCTCTAGGGTGCGGCCGTTCGTCTCAGGGAAGAAGAGGTAGACCGTCGGCACGATGGCTGCGTTGAGCACCGCGAAGATGATATAGTACTGGTACCCGATGGAGTTGAAGCCGACGGGCGTCACCTGCGCCAGGAGGAAGTTGAAGGTCCACACGGCGGCCGTGGAGACGGCGCTGATGGCCGCGCGCAGCTGCAACGGTGCGACCTCGGTCGCGTATAGGAACGTCAGGCCCGAGTAGCCGACGGTGAATATGAATTGAAAGACAAACAGGAAGATGACGGCAACGACTGTTGCGCCCGTGTTGTCCGTCACTGAGGTGGTCCCCGCGAGGATGGCCATGGAGAGGGACATGGCGGCTGCACTCCACAGCATCAGGGGCCGCCGGCCCAGCCGGTCGATCGTGAAGAAAGCCAGGAACCCGCCCAGTGGCTGTGTCAGGCACATGGCTCCAGCCAGGATGCGCGAATTGATCGCGCTCATGCCCAGGTACTGCTCGAAGATGGTCGTCGCGTACATGCTGATCAGGTTGATCCCGCACATCTGCTGGAACATCTGCCCGCCTGCCGCGAGAAGGGTGCGATGGAACAGCCGCTGCTCGCCCATCGTGAGCATGCTCTTGAACGAGCCATTGCCGCAGATGGACAACGAGAGCTCAATGTCGCGAATGTCCGCGCTGATCGACTCCGAGTCCGGCTCCACATCGGCCAGCGCGGCAAGAATCTCTCGGGCCTCCTGAATTCGGCCCTTTTTGACCAGCCACCGGGGCGATTCAGGAAAGATCACGATGAACACCATCACAATCAACAACAAGACAATCTGGAAAGCGAGGGGGAAGCGCCACGACACCGAGTTGCCGGTAATGAAGTAGAAGCCAAAGTCAATCCAGAGGGATAGGGAGACACCAATGCCGATGAAGATGCCGTCGGTCACCACATGCGCACCCCGTTTGCTGGCTTTCGAAATCTCCGACTGCCACACGGGCACCGTCGCCAGATAGGCACCGGTCCCTAAACCCAGAACCAGTCGTGCCACAATGAACTGAGCAAAGTCGAATGCTGTGGCCATCAAAACTGCACCGACGATTGTCACACCGGATGCAAGAAAGACCACCTTTCGGCGACCCAGGCGGTCACCAAGGTAAATGCACGACAGGGAGCCAAAGATACCCCCGACAGTGAAAAGGGCCACAACGGTGCCTATGATCATCAGCCACTCAACTATTCCAACACTGGATGCAGTGACATACCCTGAATGGTGGAGTTGTAATGCTGCTGAGCCCCTGTGGTATTTACCGTATCAATCTGGGGAAAGGTCTTGACGAACGATTCGAGCGTCAACAAGCCTCCGGCTACGCTTAGGTTGTATCCATAGGTGACAAAGGCCGGGCACACGACCAGACAGATGATGGCCCGGCTCAAGGCAGAGCCACGGAGGCCAAAATAAGGCGCCATCTCAATGGTGAAGTATAGGCAAGCACTGCAGGTATCTCAATCTCAATGATGGCGATTCTGAAACAGAAACAGCTATAAGGCCTTCAATGCCCCGCTCTGATGGGTCATCCATTGCCAGAAATGTCAATTGCATTATATACCAGATGTCCATTTGTACGGTCATCGGCGGGTGCCGGGGGAGGCGATACACCAAGTGGACCAGGATTCCCAGAATCTCGCTTGGGGCTGTTGGCTGGCCGATCATCGGTGCTCACTTTTCCAGTTGCCTCTAGTGCATTTCCCCGGATGGATGATGGGGCGCCACGTTCATTGTGAGGTTCTTCGCCGTCTTCCCCAGAGTTTGAGTGGGACTGAGCGGCCCTGCAGCATGATTCAGGGAGCAGCCGCAAACAGACGAATCGTTGCATTCGAAAGAGTAAAAGAAATTCCAGCCGACAAAACGCCCAGAAGCGAATAGCAGATTCTCGGGTCGGTCAATCCAATAGAACGGCTGTTCCCCGCTTGTTAGTCTGTTATTGTAGCCGATTCTCCACTGCTCTGGTTCAGGCTCTGCCATCGGACCTGGCCGATTCAAGAATGCCTCGGCCAGTTTTCATCTGACCGAATGGCTGTCGGAAAGAAACTCCAGGTCATTGTGATGATAGTAATAATGATGTCTCCAGATAGAACAGCTGCAGCTGCAGGGTGACAGATTCAGGTAGAGATGCACCCCGCGATGCTGAGTACAAGGAATGATGTAGGGATGGATGCGGGCATGTCCGCGCCAAGAGCATCGCAACTACCGGGACTAAGATTCATTAGAGCATCAGCGTTGACCTTGGGTGCTGTGCTGGAACCAATATGCATAAGCATGCAATGCTGGCACAATGGCATATGCAACGGCAATCTAGGCGCTGTGGATCTGGAGGAGTATGCTTATATGTAGCGGTTGGTTTATCATTGTATCGACATATGATATATCAGATAAGCAGAAGGATATAGTTACTGCATAACCATCTGCCTCATAATAAGACTATGCAGTCCAGCAGTTTAGCGAAAGAAGACAATCCACTGGCCAAGAGAGTCAAGCTCAGCTCCACTGATATGTATCAGTACATGATAATGTGGCTTTGTGGCTTTGCCAGTGGCCGAGTTTAGTCCTTCGTCGACTGTGTTTGCTTCACGCTGTCTTTCCATCTGCCTCCTCCATGCTGTATCATCCATCTTGAATGGATTACTTCTATATGCAGACCTGATCGGGAGAACCCACTGATAGAATAGTGGATTTTTTTCGCGATACTCGACAGTCCTTCGGATGTGTTTACCACAACTACTAGGGGAGAGCAATGACACTTGGTTATCCTGTAGTCAGACAGCACACGCACAGCCTTGCAGTGGCAAACCATTGGGTCGCCTGTCGTTGCCCTGCGATTAGAGTCATGCATACTATCCCGCAGGCCCCCAAGACGAAGCCGTGTCTACCATGCTCCTATCATACGCATCCCGAACCGACTTCGGTGGCCTCCCCGAGCATCCTTCACCATGTGTTATGTTATAGACTTGCTTCTGCTGGCAGGCGCAGTTGCATACGCACTGCGTTCGCCTGGACGGGCCAAGCTCGAGGAAACAGGACATCTGCATGCGCCACAGGAAGAGGACGACGATGTTTCCGAGACTAGATCCGACCAGGATGACGAGGCTTGCGATAACATGTCTGACGACTACTTACACCCCTTCTGACAGAGAACCTCGCTCCCTCGAAGACTGGCTGGCGCCCGTTCCGGATGCTGCATGGCACCAGCAGATCCGTAAGATGAGGCAGGATAAGACTGGAGAAGCGCTGCTAGGCTCTGCCAAGTTTTAGACCTGGGTTGTAAGAGATGGGGCGACATTGCTTTGTACAGGCCTGCCAGGTACTGGCAAAACCATGCTCGCATCGGCCGTGATTGACTCCCTGCAAGAGAAAGCTCGGCAATGACGTGAGGGTTGGCTTGGCTTTCCTCTACTGCCGTGCTGAAAAGCTGTGCCGCGGCCGGACGGTTCTTCGGTATATCCTGCAGAAACTCGGGAGCGCGATATTGACTTAGAAGATGGTCCGCTTTCAGAGCGCCAACGCGTTCAACAGCACTCTCGGTGGGGCGCTCAAGAACCCCGTTCTTTCAAACCGGTGCCCGAATGTCTTCCCGCGGTCGTATTGCATAACGCTGCCAAGCTGATCCTGTGGTTTGCTGATGATGATATCGCCAAGCCGAATGTCTCTCCCGGGTCCTGGTATACCACCACCGATCCCAACTAGTAGGCCGAATCGGATCGTGGGAAGACTCGAGAGCATTTGTTGTGCAGCCGCAGCAGCTGAAGCAAGGCCGTACTCGCCTGCTGGAAGGCAAGCAATGGCAACACAGTGATTCTTGATTCGTCCCAATACGTACTGATTGGTGTCTGCTGGATGCTGTTCTTGGGGCTCTTGGTAGAATTCGTCCAACATGGTCATTGCTGCCGCTCGCTCTGTAGGCAGGGCGCAGATCCATCCAACAGTGAAGGCCCGATTCGGCATCAAACCCAGAGCCATGGTGCTCGTAGCTTGCGCAGGCGATACGTGCGCAAATGTAACAGATAGGAGCTCAGCGTTGTAATGAGATTCGTCCCATAATGCTTGTACAGCGTCCGACTCCGGCAGTGCCGCCGTGCGGAGTATTAGGGATAGAGTAGACTATGTCTTTGGATTCTTATCGTTAACCTCGAAAGGCTGAGTGACACGTCACATCTTCCTCAACTTACCTTAGATCGAATATTGCTGAGGGGCCAGCCTGGCTTCTGGTTCGTTATTCTCTGCAGCCAAAGGTGTAAAAAGTTAGACCTAGAACGAAAGCTACCAAGCGTCACAGAATAGGCGCTGGATGCATACAAGGTGACAGGATCAGCTCAACAAAAGGGGGGAAATGAGGGCGAATAGGAGGAGGAGGAACAGGCATACACACAAACAAAACAACAGCGGTAATCAAGAGGGCGTAGAATGTCATATGGGGTTTTGCTATTAGATATTATAAGATGAGGGTAGTTGAAGCTTGAGAACTCTGTCGCTGCATGGTGCCTGTGTAGGTAGTATCTTAAAACTCATAAGTACTGCGCTCCTTTCACCACAGGCAGTCAGGCCCCATAGAACTAAGACTGTCAACAGCCAGCTGCGTTTTCTCCACAGTCCACCATCATCCTCCTGTTGATTCCCTCTAGAATTCTAATTGTTAAAAGGTGAGCTGTCTCCTCAGTACCTCGCGATCAGCCAGTTCCTTCGATCGTCCTCGGCCATCTGGCGTAGTATCTTTGCCTCCGTCCGCTTGACTAACACATATGTGCTGATGATCACTTGGCCACACAGTTCGCGTAAACCAAGGTCCCTCTCCAAGTTATTCAAACTCTCATCGAGTGATTTCGGCAGGATCGTATTGATTCCCAGGGCATGCTGCTCGCCCGGCGACAGTTCTGATGCAGATGTCACGCAGTCACCTCCCTGCAGAGGCTCTTGACTCCGCATCCCATCGATTCCAGCGGCGATCATTGCGGACAAAGTGAGATAAGGATTTGCGAGGCCGTCAGCCAGCTTAAACTCGAAATGATTCTCCTCGATACGACGAAGTGGAACCTCCTTGTTCTCCCACCCCCAGCAGGCGTATTCGCCGCCACTCCAAAGCCCCGGTGCGACACGACTGTAGCTGATATCTTGAGGCAAGGAGAACGCCATTATGGCGGGCATATGGCTCATGATACCTGCGAAGAAAGATTCTGCCTTTCGGACCCAATTGTCTGATTCACCCACGGAATTTACTGACATATGTACGTGACCCCCGTTACCGGGATGGACGGATGATGGGCGCGAATACACTGTAGCATGATACCCGAACGAGTTTGCAACTCGTTTGATGGTCTCACGAGCCCTGATCAGCATATCAGCGGCCTGGATGGGCTTAGCAGGCGGCAGGACAAACTCCCATTGACCTGGTGCCGCCTCGGCATGGAACTGCTCCAAGGGAACATCTGCCGTAGCCAGCGTCCGCGCAATGGTCTCCAGCATCTCCAGCATCGACTCGTCCTCGGCGGTCATACTGGACCACGAATGCTCGTAATTGGCCATGGAGAACCGCACGACCCCATTGCTCTTCTCGGCTCGCATGAACGTCACCTCGATTTCAGAGCCGACCAATGCCGAGCACTCCAGCTCGCTCAACAGTGTCTCCTCTAGATCTCTCAGCCGCGACCTTGCGCACTGAAAGCCAGGTGTGCCGTCATCGTCTACAAAGTCGCACATAATGACCGCTCGAGTTCCATTGGATCCTGGCTGGCAATATACGGTCTCAAAATCCGGCCGCAACCAGAATTTACCCGACGCGAGACCTCCTTCGGCGATAAGATCGCCGGGACCCAGGAGGAGTGCGACTTCCGGGATGGTGATAAATTTACCCTTCTGCACCATGGCTTTGAATTTGTCCATGGGGAACATGCGCGTATAGACTAGACTGCGATAGGACATGAATTGTAGCCAGACGAATTCGACGTTGCCATGTTTGGCGACGAAGTTGTCCCACCCGGACGTGTGTTGCTCGATGGCCATTGCGTCTTGCGACTTTAGACGTTAGTTTGATGATGAAGTGAAGAACCGCGAGAGTTGTGTAGGCATCAGTCCAGTTAAAGACGAAGGGATACGATCCTAGACCGCCAATCTGTGTCGCACTGACAGTGACTGGGATACGTAGACGCATACGGAGTACGCCAATCAGAAGAACATATCATGGATTGTAAACCATTGCTTGCATTATTAGTGCTGATTTGATGACAGGGTTCTATGATAGTCCGTCTCTATTCGTTCATGGCGTGTTGCTGGGTCATTCAGTCCGGAATGAGTCTCGACTGTTTCTAGACATGTATATTTTTGTCTTCAATGAAGGTGTTCAGGCATGTAGCTTGCAATAGCAGGTACCTTAATATTACTTCTCCATTTCGGAAATGGGACATTATAAGAGCGGATTGTTTAGTAGAGGTTGGAAAGCAGCCTTCTGGCGAGGATGATTTGAGGTTGTCGTGTGGTTAGGCAGGAGATACTTTTTCGGCTCACCAGAAACTCCATCTCTTCTTCTACAATCAATGTCCTTCCCCCAGATCAACTCACCGAAAATCATCAAACCATCATGTCTCTTCATTGAATAAGGATCAGTAATCAAAAGAAAGGTGACTTAAGACCACCTTACGAAAAAAAAGCTTCAGTGTTTTACCCTTGACACATCACAATTGTCCCACATTGGCTAACCCTCGTTTCAGTCGTCTTAGGAGCCGCAGATCTTTGAGTCCAGGTTCGATTGCTTTGAAGAAAGTTCGACAAAAGACTCAGTCGACCATGCACGGAGGGGATGCTCAATCTAGTTTTAGTATTGTTCATCGCCCACACGGCCCCACTGCAGTTTCCAATGATTGATAGCGGTTATCGTTTCTCGGAATAGGGTCCCGCGTTCTGACTCGTTAAAGTTCGACCAGGGTTTAGGGGGCTCAGATAGCTCGGTCGCACTTCTCAGATCCATGAAGACTGTGGGCAGCCTGGCACGTTCCCGTCATTCGCCTAGTTTGACTAGAGAAGGCGAGGAGTGATATTGGCGGCGACTTGGAGTGACGACAGCACTATCTGAATTTCTATCCGCCGTTCTCTCACTTCTCAGTATCGACAAATCAATACTAAAGGCATAGTTATCGGGTTGCACGCACTGTTACTGCAAGGGATCATCAGTCCGAAACCCGCCGTCTGTTATCCGAGTGAAGACGCTAGGGCCTACAGACTGGGTTCCTAGATTACTCCTCTCGGCTTCTGAGGGTCGATTTCCGCGTTCCAGATTATCATCGCCACGAACTATCACTAACTACTTAGTGATCATTATGAGACCGTGTACCTGAGATGGCCCCAAACCCCGGCTCTCCTCACCAATCTGATTTCAACCAGAAAAAATGAGACTAAGAGGCCCCGAGTCTCACCTAAAACCCCCTTGGCCTTTAGAGTGTTCGGATCTTTGCCCCTCCATTCCCAGTTCACAGTTCTCGAGGTCTCACCCCCCTCGGCGTGGCCGCGTGGGTACCGGATTTGGTGCCATGAAAGGTTAGATCACGGAGGTCGGAAGTATCACTCGACATCCCCAGGGCAGGACAATGGATCTAGAGCGAAAGATCTGCTCCCTCGTTCGCTGTTTACTTTGTGCCATATGCCATATAGCTAGCTTGACAGCTCTTCGGCCTGCTCTTACACAGAGTCCCGGCTTCCTTATGACCTCCGAAAATCCAAATCTGTCTGGTTCTTAGAGAGGTACCCAGAAGTCATCTTCAGGCTGGCAGCGTCTTGGTTCCTCCCGTTACTACTATGGCACTTGACAACGTACTTGGGCCTTCTTCATCGGATTGAATACCTGACCCTTTCCTATTGATAACTAAGAAAATTCAATCCGCGGTCAGCTAAAGGACTGCGCGGGGCAAGTGCCAAATTCAAGACGTCACAATGGACAGCTCTCTGCCCCTCGTCGACCGGGCACTTGCGATCTTCGTGGTGTCTGTTGTGATGATGGTTATTTCGGTCGTGGCAGTTGTTCTACGTAGCTTTGTTCGCTTGTACTTGGTGCGAGCCTTTGGATGGGATGATGCTCTCATGGTTCTTGCCTTGGTATTGCGATACTGGAATAATCTGATGACGAGGAAGCTGACATTTCACCAGTCACTCTTCGTATTCTTGGGAATATGTTGTATGATTGGCTCGCTAAGCGGAGTCGGTCATAGAATGGTCGAGTTTGAGGGTCTGGGGGCAATAGATGATCTTAAAAGATCGCTACTGGTATGCTGTATTCCGCGTTACCCTGGATATCCATGCTGATAATCACCTCAGTGGTGGTGGCTCGGTCAGATGCTCTATATTTGGTCGTCTGCTGTGGCAAAAGTATCCATATCCATGACGCTCCTTCGTTTAGCCGTGCGAAGATTGCATCGCATCATCCTGTGGACCGTCATTGCCCTCGATATTATCATTGGACTCATGTTCTGGCTCATTCTGCTGCTGGACTGCAATCCCGTCTCCTATTTCTGGCTCAGTGTGGACCCCCGCAGTTCGGGAACATGCTTGTCCAGAGACGTTCTGTTGGCGATTGCCTATCTGTACAGTTCGCTCACTATTTTCTGCGACTTGACTCTCGGCGTCATGCCCGCCCTGCTGGTATGGGGTCTGCAGATGAATAGGAAGACAAAGATTGCCCTTGGCGGGATTCTCGGTTTGGGAGCTGTGTAAGTATCACCTGGCAAACCGTTTTCCGTCTGCCAATGCCATCATCGCAGACTAATCACCCGTCTTCAGTGCAAGTGTTGCAGTGATTATCCGATTCCCGTTCCTTCACTACTACAAAGATAATGACTTTTTGTGTGAGTACATTTTTGATTCGGCCCATTGACCCTGCTAACGTCTAGCGAATAGACTCCACCTATCAAATCGCAATCTGGTCCATAATGGAGACCGGACTCGGCATCATAGCTGGCAGCCTTGTCACTCTTCGCCCCCTGTTCCGCTGGTTTCTGGACGGCAACCTGTCCGGTCGTCACAGACGCGGTGCCAATCGCAGCGACAGACAATACCCACTTTCTAGCTTGCCGGATGATCCACCGAAGAAGGATTCTCGCGATCCAAGCTACTGGCGCCCTGACCTCCCGGAGGAATTTCCCAGCGTTGTGGTGACCACCATCTCGTCGCCAATGGCGCGAAGCCATCTGAATGACGACCACAGCAGCCAGGAGGAACTGAGCCTTCCTGAGGACTCGTGGGCCCGTTATCAGGTCAACATCCACAAGACGTTCCAGATGACCACCGCACCTTCTTGATGCGATGATCCTTGATCCTCACTTATATAGAAGAGACATAACGATTACAATGTATTATACGTCTCCTAAAGAGCCAGCGTTCGTTTCAGTGACTGATCATGGGTATACCGAAAGCGACATTTGCCCCGTGCCGCCATATGACCATTCGGAATTCTCAGCGCCTGACGGGAGTGAAACATTACGAGGCAACGCGCGTTTAGCGAACATCCTTGAGGACGCGGCCTGTTGCGGTCTAGCGACCTCAAACCCTCGTCTCGTTTTTCATCAACTTTCGGACTCCAGTCCTTAGGCTGCTGCGATTCGTGGAGGTTGCCTGGAAAAATGTGGTGATTTGACTAACGACCTGAACATTCAAGGACAATCATCAATGAGCCATGACTCAAGCCCGAAAGCGACGTGAATTGGACTTGGAAACCATCGTGGTTCAGAAGTAGTCCATATGTCTATGGAGGGAATCACGGGGTATGAGCGCTCTATATAGGGTTCTATCATAATCATTATCATGACGCATAATCGATTATATATCGCGAGCCAGCAGTCCCTCGGCCTCTTCGGAAGGGCCTCCATACTCAGAGGCATGCTCTCCATGCGACTTTTCTAATATGTCTGCCATGGCTAACCCGTCCTGCCGTCCCTTTTCTGCATTGACCATCCAGATCAGCGGTATGGGAAGGAGGATCAAGACCGCAATGAAGAAAAAGCCCGACCGCACCTGACCGGTAGCATCGATCAGCATTCCTACAATAGCAGGGCCAATGAACGAGCTTCCTTTATCCGTAGCCGCATACAGAGCGTAGAATGCGGCCTCGCTACCAGGGGGGATTAGTAGACCAAAAAAGGAGCGGCAGTAGGATGACAGTCCACCAGATACTAGGCCATGAACAATCCCCAGGGGGAAAATCTCCCATGGCTGCTGGAGCCCAATCACGCCCCATTTCTTGAAGAGAGGAATGTAAGCAAGCATGCCGTAAAGAGGTATAACCTCAAACAACGCGATGCAGAGCATAATAGTGTGGTTGGACTTCAGTCGGAGCCGCCGCGAAACCACTGGCCACAGAAAGGCCCCGGCCATGCCTGACAGCGTAGCTGTGATGGACAGTAGTCCTACGGCTGTCGTACTCATCTTTAGTTCTGTGCGCGCAAATAGAATGGCCGTACCGGACACCGTCGCCATCGCGTCTGAAAGAAGGAACCAGGCAATGAGGAAGACGATCACTTCTCGAAGCTTGACTGCTACTTTGACCGTCTTCCACAATGACTTCCACGCAAACCCAATCAGCCGCAGCCAGATGCGCCACCGGCTGTTACTCGCTGCTCCTTTTGAAGAAGCCAGGGGAGGCCCGGGTCTGTCCCGCAGCCACCGCCGAGAGACCATGGTGAAAGAGAACCACCAGATTCCAACTAGAAGAAGCACAAACCGCATAGGCAGAGTCCCCGAAATTTTCGGTAATGATGTCTTTGACAGCGCAAATAGCATCAATATACTGAGTATTTGTACCAAAACGGCTGCACAATAGCCGAGTCCAACGCCTTTAGAGGAGATTCGAGTAGACAGTTGTAGTTCAGGTGAAGCCGAACCCGCTGCTTTTGTCTTAAGTCCATGTCCGGTCGTAAAATGGTCGTCAGAATCCCTGACGTTTTCTTCGTCAAGATCTTCCGATCGCGCAAACTCTCCGCTTGAGTTGACGGGCGATAACTCTTCCCCTTCCTCCTTGTGTGCAGTCTGAATCGATGGGTCGTTGGCTACTAGAACAGGCAGAAAGGAATTGAGAACGACGAACGATGATCCAAGACAAGTCACACCGATGACGACAAGAAGCGATCCAAGGATATATACTGGTGGCGCGATGAAGATGAATAACATGCTCGTCATCGAGCCAATGAATCCAAAAGCGAGGAGGAGGGTTTTACGGTTATTTTCTGCGCGGGAGATAATTATCGTCAGCAAGTCTTACCAATACGGTATAAAGCTGGTCCTCACCGTAGTCAGCCAGCGCGCTGAAAGAGATCAATGTTAATGCCTGAACGAGAACCGCAAGCGAGAACGTGTACATGGCAAAACTGGCAGTGTTGACCTGCAGCCCCAACACGCTAACCACACACTGATCATTATCCGTGCCATCGCGTCTGAGCGTTGCCGTAGTCGTCCCATTTCCAGGGGCTGTAGAAGGCGAGCTAGAGCCTACACATGGTAGGTGGCTCGACAGCAGGGTTCCGCGTTCGCGAGCCAGTTGCTCTAGTGTGAGTGGTAGGAATGAGCCTGTTTCATAACGGAATATTCAGAAATGAGCTCTCACAGACAGAGTAGATCAAAGAATAAAGTCAGCGTACCTACACCACAGACAGCAAAGACCTCAGCTGCGATTCCGTACGCGTACCAGCCCCAGATCTCCTTCCGACTGGTCGGGGCTGTGTCCTCGCCGGGATACCGAGGCGGACGCTGTTGTGCCTCCGCGCCGGGAGACGCGGGCGGGGTGGAGTTCAAAACCATAAAGATATATTGGGTACGGAGCGAGAGAACCGAATGAGGATTCAATATATCTTCACAATGGCCATCATGGCACAGAGCGAGCGGAACACTGCGAAGATAAGTGTATGACTGCGAACATTATTCTTGCCTCACAGTTGACGCAACTTGTTTCTGTGCTGATTCATCATCAAACCGGATGTTGCGGAAGCTCGAATTCATGTTGTGATTGGTTCGTCCGATCTATATAATGGGGGCTCCAAATATAAGCAAAATAAACACTTCCTGACAACTTTGTGAGATGAGTATCTCAAGAGTGATCCATAAATACGCATCTATGGCAGCTGCAAAGTCCAGTGGTACCTTGGCCTATGATTCCTGAGGTTCCGATGTTGCCCATCATACGAACACTTGTTCTGGAGCAAAGGTGGGAGCATCTCTTTGAGTGCCATAGACGCAATAATTATGATCGAATATGTGCCAATGAAGAGAAAATTGAGAGCATGCATGACAATTGAGTCGATAAAGGGAGCCATGACCGTTGTAGCTGCATACGATACGCCCAAAATCTCCCAGCTGTACTTGAGGTTGGTTCCACTCGGAGAGAAGTTCCACTACACACAATCAATCCGACTTGTAGTACATGAGAAGGGGTGAGTTTGCAAGATGCATTCCACAAACTTCTTGGCTTTTTGGTCTACTGGCAGAAAGAATGCATAAATCGCCGAACTCCAGTACTGTCACCTCCCAAACACAGTGCCTCATGAGGTTATTCAGAAGTGGAAGCAGCACCCGCTACCGGGCCGGTTCAGGCCTTCCTTCCTTCCTCATTTTATACAAGAAACAACACCCAGCAGTAGCTTTTGTATCCTTCCTCTCCCAGGTACTATCTGCTTTTCCACTTTATCTTATTCTTTCACTAGCTCTCAGCTCAGATTAAATAAGCTCACTCTTCGACTCTTCTCCAAGCGGTTGCTCAAAGGCAATCATCAATCTCCATTGCTATCCGGTCGTCTGGGTTGACTGGTCCTAGCCAGCAAAATGACCGGGATCCTCGACTATCTCCAGTGCGCTCTGGGGAAGCTTCTATATCGCGTTCGTGGCCATGATTCGAAGCAGATCATCAGAAGTGCTGCTTTCAAAGATCTTCCCGAACCCAACATGACCCTTGAAGCACCAGAATGTGGTCCCACCGGCTCAGTACTGCTTGACTTCCATACTTGTCTCGCTGAGGACAGCAAGGGAAGATTCCCTGAGCTTCGCTGGACTCCTCCTCCTCAGGGTGACGTGAAGGAGTATGTGCTGATCTGCGAAGACATTGACTTGCCCATTCCACGTCTCGTGATCCATCATGGCCTGTTCTACGGTATCCCTCCCACGACCACCACCGCAACACATGCCGACATCAAACAGAAAAAAGACGCAGGAGAACGACTGACTCGCTCTAATTGGAAGTATGTTCCTAATCTGACCGGCAATTCTTATATTGGTCCTGCTCCACCTCTGGGTCACGGCTTGCACCGGTACATTTTCACCATTATCGCACTCAACGAGCCTCTCCAGTTCGACCAAGGAGAACAGGTCAGCAAGCAAATGATCAAAGAGGCCATGGTTGGCAAAGTCATTGGCTGGGGTCAGTGGGTTGGACTTTGGGAGCGCCCTTGGCCCAAATAAGCATACGCCCAACGTTCTTCATCGATCATGACAAATTTACGAGACTATCATACCCTCCAGTGGAGACAAGGAAAGCATGGGAAGGATTCACTGAATTATGATTAGCAGGGAAGTAATGATGTTGGACCGGTAAACTGGTGGCTCCATGTATGCTCTTAGTTCTCTTCGTCTCATCCTTACAACCGAAAAAAAGCACTTTGAAAACACATGGAACTATACTCAAAGGCAGATGAACCGCCCCCTCGCTCCCATCTCAAAATAGGGTACAGCTGATCCCTCACGCAGGGTCGATAACCACGTCGTTTCAGCTAGGTATGCCAGTCAGATTCCGCAAACGAGAAACAAGCAGGACGCAAGGCTCACTGAACTGGAGCTGAAACTGTTCCATGAATATCACTAGCCGGTGAATGATGGACTCTATTGAAGTGTCCCAGGATCGAGACGACACCGTCCCAGTACGGTACGTATGCACAGTGTCTTTTGGTCGCGCACGCATGACGTCCCTGAGACCTTCCAGAAGCCCCAGCAGCCTCATGAGATTGCGACTTAGCAGTATCCGTACAAGCAGAACTGACTCCTCCTCGTTGAGCTCCGTTTGCCCTAGCAGAACGGCGCTTCTAACACAAATAAACGGAGGTAGTTGCTGTTCGAAGGCAAGAATTGCTGGGTCAAACAAGGTGTTCTGCCGGTTGATACTGTACGCCGCACAAATCGCCTCGAATAGGAGGAGGGATTGCTCTGCTAATGTAGGAAAGGTCATTATGGATGCTTGGGGGCTTCTCCTGCAGTCCTTGCATTTGATGATTGCTTGGCCTTGGCTGCAGACACGATGAATCAAATCAAAGACTGTTCCAAGTTCCACAACGGTGTGGATGCTACGGAGCTCGTTCATGAGATGCAGCACGTCCATGGAACATTGGCACGTATTCTCCGTCTCCATTGTTGATGCGATGTCGTGAAGACTCGGATGATGAAAATTGCGAGGATACTAGAGAAGAGAAGAGGTCCGGGTCAGATATCTTGACAATACGTGCTGACATTGCTAACCTCATCGGCATTGATGAGTGAGAAATCCCGTTGTACAAATCAAGGGACAAGTCCTCTTCAAAGCCGAAAGACCAATGGCTGCCATGAGGGTTGCAGTAACTCCCATGGCTCCGTGCTATTCACATGCACAATCGCATTCTACTATCGAAGCAAATCAAAACAGCATTTGGAATACACTTCCCGTTAGAACATTGATAAGTCAGCCTCACCATTCTCTGCAGTTGACTGGACGGATCCGAATGGTCTGCCCCTGAACAACCGTGATTAAATGTGGTACACGCACGTTTCCCTGGTCAGCTGGAGGTCACACCAATTTCGACAGCAACATTGCGAAAGTCATGTTTGCGAAGGATCAATGATAGAGTAGCGGTGGTATTCGGCGCAGGGACATCATCATGCTGACGGGTGTAAGTTTTATTCTGACTTTCTACTAAGCTGCACACTGCTGAGTGAGAGAGCTAGGAACAGGCCGATTCAGACTGATCACAAGAAGGGCTCGATCACCGATCCTCAGACATCGACCTTACGGTTTTTGAAAGTGAAAATTGATATTGATGAAATCTTTCAGGCATTTCTTGAAGAGACTATGCCACTATGTCTGCCTCAATAGACAAGTATATCGCTACAGAACCCACTATCATCGTCACCTGGTGAACAGCCTCATCCTCATCATAAACAGCTGTAATCTCCGATCCGTCTCCATCATCATGCTCAGCCTTCCACGCGAAGCAGATATTGTCAGCATCTGCTGCGTACAATACCTGATGCGGCGGATGATGGCCAATAGTCCAGTCAGCCTTGCGTACAGCACTTGATGCACGAAGAGACATCTCTCCTCTAGCGGAACACAGAAGCCACCGACCATTAGAGGACAATTTTCTTCGGCCCTGAAATGGAAAATACCACCTGCGTGCCTTCGGTTGCTCCCATCGGACGCAATTTCCTGCCCGAAATCAGGCTGGAGATGCATATGATCATGTAACTCAGGCAAAGCACCCTCTATCAAACGAGCGTCCCCGGATATGAGGTCTTCAAGTGTTGTGATTAAACTGTCAATGCTGACAACCACCACCATGAGGAGGTTAACTCGTGTCTTGGAACAGAGGGCACATTGCAGAATAGTTTCTGCCAAATGTTGGACAACTCGCTGAGAGCCCAAGATGGAATCAATCGTAGGTGATGGTCCTGGTCGAGAGGTACATATGTTTATACGAATGAGCTCTCTGACGATTTGTTCAGGGCACTGACATTGACACTGGCGACCTGTCGCGGTACTCACGGGCGCGAGGCTCGGAGAAAGGTTATTTTTTGGAGAATCAACGTCATTCGCACGCTTCCAAGCTCTCGAATGGGCACGCAGATTGGCTTGTTCTGTTGCAGTCCAAGATTTTCCAGACAGTGCCTCTGCTATCGAGAACTGCTGAGGCTTGACTGAAGCACCTCTCCTGAGAAATTCAGAATAGGAGTCTTGGATCGTCGCAGGACACTGGGCACTGCTGGTAACTGCCTCGGTGGGCATGGGGTCATCTGCGAAATAAAGGCTCACCGTCGGTGGATGATCCTCTCCTACCGGTGACGACGTGGGAAAGCTCTTGAGCGAGGACTCCGAATCATTGTACCCCTGTTTCGAGACAGCCATTGGCATATCATTCTTGGGGTTTTCGAGCGCCAGCGCATCAAAGAGATCACTCTCCTGGGCAAGTTCGGGACCTTGCTGAGAGAGAAATTCTTGCAGCCAGCTGTCAGAGGAGAAATCGACGGCATCGTTGACTATAGGATACATTTTTCGTCAATGACTTTGCCTGGTTACATATCTGAGAGAGCGTAGACTACCTGCAAATGATGGCAGTTGATCCCTTTCGCCAAAGGTCGGCGTACTCAGATTAGTGTCATCGAGGGAGATGTCGTCTAGCATAGTCTGGTCGACGGCAATGGTGTTATATGCTACTGTTTCTCCAAGTCTCTGTGGGAAGTCGTCTTCATCGTCCTTCTTATTGTTCGCCTGGCCTTCCTTTGCTTTTTTCTTGGAAATCGGCGCCTTCTTGTCTCGTTCGTGACGCCGAGCGTCGACGCGTTGCGTATCCGGCGGAAGGCCGGCGTATTGAGACTCCCTCCTCTTCGCGGGTCTTCCCAGTCGTCGAGACATGCTGTAGATGCACTCGATGTTATGCTTCAGGCACCTTCGGCAAGATGGCTTTTCATGACTACAGCGTATCTTGGCCTGTTGACATGCGTTGCAGGTCGAACGCACTTTGACGCTCTTGGGAAGTCGATCGGGGGATGGCTTGGACTGTTTGTCTCGGTTCATCCCGACGAAAGAAAGGCACGACCGAGAATGTAGATACTGTTCTGGGAAGTAGGTGTCTTCCTGTTCGAGCCAATTCATTCTCTTACCGTGGTTTGTATATACGAGTGGATTGCAATTTGGCTCTGACGGTCTTCCGTGCGTCGATGGACTAGGACGTCTCTTGCTATTCCCATTCCCTTAAGCCGAGACAATTGAGGGCGCGAACAGACCATGAGGTAGCATTGGCACTGCAGCCCTCTAGCCATTCATGTTACATGGTTCATGTTTCACGGATGAGTGGATGTGGAGACTTGGACGACCGAGGCTAGTAATTCAACATTGATGGCGATACTTGCATGGCCTGCGTGTGCGTTGCAAGTCTGCTGTGAAAATTGTACTATGCTGATGTGTGCTGATGGTTACACAGAGCAACGTCTCTACTTCTTCTTGCATATCACGTTTGACAGGGCGTCCAAAAGCAGTCTGACTTGACTACTTCTCGAATTTGATTCGCTTCATCGAGCAACGTAAAGTCCCAGCTATGGACTTGGTACACGTTGACTGTCCTACATGAAATTATGTGACCACCTGCTGTTGATCGACCTCGTAAGTTGCCTCCATGGGAATGAAGCCCGTGCTCTTCGGTTCCTCAGTCCTGCATGGGGCCGATATGAACCACGTTGTGGTGGGCACCAATCCTCCCGACGCCGTTGTTGTCGTCGTTGCCGCATCATTGTCGACGTAGAAGAAATTCCCTGCCACAGGCGCTCTCAATCCAGCAACTTCGACAAACTGTTTGATATCAAACCCTCCCCTCCCCTCTCTTGTCGGGGGGAAAATGTGCCCAAAACATTCCGGGAACACATAGTCGGGGTCCTGTTCGTAGAGAAGATAGACGTATCGGTGGCGTGTATACGGTGGCGATTGGGGAGCAATGTATTCCGCTCCAGTAGAAGTCCTGTTGACTAGCCATCCATTCTCATTTCCATTACAGTGACTCGTAGCAGATGCCGTCATGTACGGCTGGTACCAATGTAAGACTGTAGTTGAACAGCTTTCCAAGACCACGTCGATATCGACGAAGAGGAGGAGGTAGGTGCGAGCGGCGTTGAGGTTCAGAGTGCTGATACACGGTATCGGGAGGGCATCTGTTTGTTGCCACTAGCATGAGCTTCATCGTTCATGTTAGTCACTGGAATCGTGATGGACGTACCTGGTTGTTTGATCGTATCGCCTGGGGAGATCCACGGGGTCGAGGGGTATCGCATCTGGAGAGTGGGGGTTCCCGGTGGTAGAGCCCACTGTGCTGAGGATATGGCTGTGAATAGGATAAATGAGATAAATGTGTTCATGATGAGTACAGTCTAGACAAATAATGCTCAAAATCTTGATAGATCGACTACCTGTCTGCTCGAAGAGACGGAGACCTGCCAGATGAATTTATACGCAGCAGGATGCCAAAAATACCGCAAAGAGCGCTGTGTAACTTAAATACTTCCGGGAAATAATAGCCAAGTATGAATAAACCGTTCAGATGCGCTTTACTCATCCAGCAATTGCAATTTCTGCAAACCGCCTACGTCTCCATACCAATCCTTTCCAATAGACTATCCCCAGCAACGGGCTCACACTCAACATCGCCCCCGCCACAGCCCAGTACGTAGTCCGATTCCCCCATTTCAGTATCATCGGATGGATGACGGACGTGGCGGCCGCGCCCAGGAAGCATCGCACGAGGTTATTGGCCGCCATGGCGGTGGCCGGCGTGGAGTAGTACAGATCCACGATGAGGACGTTCATCACGTTGTATGCGGCCGTGATGCAGAACGAGATGAGGAACACGAGGGCCAGCGCGATGTTCAGTGGCGGTTTGCTTTCTATCAGTGCGCCGTACCAGGCGACTGAAAGTGCTGCTGCGACCTGCTACTTATCAGCACGTTGCAATTGCAACTGCAACTACAACCCTGGTGAAGTATAGGAGATGAGGAGGTGCAACGCAACGTACCGTCATAGGAAGCCCGATCTGCAACCGTACTCTCTCGATGGGAAACGCGCCATGGTCTTGCTTTTGGTCTTTGGAGATGGGGTCCCCTGTTTTGCGACGGAGGCGGATGTAGTTCCAGTCGACGATTAGGCCGTTGAAGGTTGCGCTGAGGAGAGAGCCTAGGCCTGCTGGGATGAAGCTGAGGCCGATGCCTAAGTCGCTTAGTCCGTAGATTGCTTTGAATTGGGAAGGAATGCCGGCTGTGACGGAGTAGTAGCTTGCGAAGACTATGCCGTTGGCGACGACGAGGGGGCCTGTGGGGAGTTGGAAAAGGAGGCGGAGTGTGGACAGGGGATTTGGGAAGGTGGTGTTTGGTTTTTGAGGCCGTGGATGGGCGTCGCGGCAGGTGTCTGGGGTGCCTTCGGGGTCAGAGTTGGAAGTAGCAGTAGTCTGTCGTTTGTGCCACCGGTTCCAGACTGATTGATTCCATCCTGTAGCTGGGATTGACCCGTCCCCGACAATCGCGCGACAAGTCTCCGGGAAGAAGATGACTAGTGGTATGACGAAGGTTACCGCAGCGAAGGCAAGAAACCAGAATATAGCCTGCCAGCCTAGGTACTGACTCAGAAAACCGCCTAGAATTGGGCCTAGCGATGGAGCGAGGATATTGCCCAGCGAGGTGATCCCCATGTACATGCCTCGCTCGGCGGATGTGATGACGTCCGCTGCCACGGCAGAGGCGAGTGCGACAGTGCCGCTGCTTCCACAGCTCTGTACGGCACGGAGGGCTAGAAGAGCGATATAGTTGTGTTGGAGTGCGAGGGCAATGTTGCCGATGATGTAGATGACGAAGCAGAAGATGTATGCTGGGCGTCGGCCGGCTTGGTCCGCGAAGGAACCCATGAAGGAGGGAGCGAGGCCTTGACATATCTGTCTTCATCAGTGATCATCACTTGAAAGGACGCGGAACCCAATCAACTAGGAGTGATACCATGTACGTAGTAATGGTCAGGTTGATCTGAGAACTGGTGACATGTAGATCTGCCGCGATGGAATTCAGAGAGGGGTAGTAGATGTTGGCCGAGAAAGGTGAGAAGCTCGAGGCCAGAGCAGCTGCAAGAATGATGAGGCGTTTCTGTCCATTTGTGAAGACTGAATACCGCTGTGATGCTGCATGAGAGGAAAGCAGAGGTGTTGATTCCGTGGCTGGTGGTTGAGAGATACTCGACCGCCCTGTCATAGTGTGATATTCTGACTACGTATGAACACATGCAGTATATATTCTTTGGTAGAATCGTTATTTTTAACTGTTTTGGGCCTCATCTTAAGCATAGTTCTCTCTATCTAAACGCTCAAAACTACGAGAGTCCGGCGCATTTCAGTCATATTAACCGGGTGACTATACGTATTCTACGCTTCGATATCCGTACGTGTCAGTTTTGAAGACATCGACCACCTTTTCTGATTATGATAAACTACGCATAGACCTCGCTCACTCTGGCTATCCGGACGTCTGCAATCCGTCTTCATATCTTTGGCAGGGGCTTATCCTCTTTGACTTCCCCGGTATAGATATGAGACGGCCTGAACAACTTGCCGCGTTTCACTAAACGTACTTGAGGTCAGAAACTCGCCGATATCTTACCGATTCTTGCAAAGACTTACACATATACTCCCGCCAGTGTGCCATTACGCCCATGATACGCTGGGACATCATGGCGGCCGGAATCAGTTCTGGTTCAAACCCTCTGCAGACACCCTTAGCCAACGTGTTACGTCTCCAGGCTGAACTCAAAGGACTCTTACATCCCGGTAAAGACAAAATTCCCGTAGAAGTCAGCATTGGGGTAGAGTCCTCTGCTCCTGAAATAGCCGTCGGCCGAGGCAACCTGCTCTATCCGTTCGGCGACTTTTATGAGACTGTTCGAAGAGGTATCCAAATCCTTGAGAATAGACCTGATTGGAGCAACTCTGGGATCCAGCCCCTTGTACGAGCGATGTCCGTATCCGAAGAGTCTTCGTTTGCCCTGTTTCACCTCTTCGATGAACTTGGGAACCTTCTCTGGCGTTCCGATCTCCCGCAGCGCGAGGTTGGCTGACTCGGTAGCACCGAAATGAAGTGGCCCAAATGCTGCCCCTGTTGCTGTTATCAGACACGATATAGGGTCTGTGAGAGATGATGTTGTGACCAGTGCTGAAAATACAGACAGAGCCATGCCATGGTCCGCGTTGAGCATGGCAAAGCGCCGGAAACATGATAGCTTTGTGGGATCTGGGCGTCCGGTAGTTTGGTCTACCAGGCCCGCCATCTGGAACAAATTCTCCAGGTAAGACTTGTGGCGCGAGGGTTGTGCAAATGGGATCCCTCTTCGATGGCAGTTTACCAGCCCGAAAACGACCGCGTAGGCTGCAACGGTTCGAATGATTGCGCGGTCGACCACATTGCTATTGCTTTGATATAGATCGGGTTTAGTTGATGCAGGTATACTCTCCGGGGCGTATGCTAGACACGCTGAAAGTCCGGCTAACATGAGAGGCAGGGGTGAGGTGGTCCTTCTGTATGGTTTACCTTGTTAGACTGGACTCGAAGCTTCTGCTGACATGGATAATTCACGGCAGTGTTTCTATGGTCCTGTGCACGCTTTTGGGAACCATAGTCATTTCCTCAGAGAGCTTCCGGCTCAATTCCTTCTTCTGCAATGCTGTAGGATAACTCCCCCAGACAAGGAGATGCAGCATATCCTCGAAATCGCTGTCCCATAGCTGCTCCAAAGTATACCCACGAAATAAAAGGAGTCCCTTCTCATGATCGCTAAGAAACGTCAGTATGTCAGCTGTATCATTTCACATAGAAGTTCAGAGCTCCGCACGAAAAACTTATCCTTGTTTCCACGACAGTAGTATTCTGCAACCCGGGGTCATGCACGCGTAGTCCACTGGCAACTTGATCCGCTCGGTCTGCGCCAGCCGCTGGGGCTTTGATTCTCTTGAAGTCCATCGCTGAGACTGCATTTCGTCTGATTGGGATTTCATACTCCGCGTTGGTGCGCGAGTCTCTGATGTAAAGGGTCCCCGATGACATGGTGGCTGTGTTCTGAATCCATTTGAGATGCTCCCTTGGTCAATGTGCTCCTTTTATAGTAAAGGTATGTATATAAATGTGCCGATCAAGCCATAGCTCAGGTGTGTTGAGCACGTCCTGAAGGAGGATGGGAGCAAGCAAGCTAAAGTTCCGCACTTTGTTCCGGGCATTAGCAGGGAATTACACCAGAATCCGCTTTATTATTTTCCCCAAGCAACTTGTCAGCCATGTTTGCACTGCTTGCTGAGTATTATCCACTGATTGACTGAACAAATAGAGTGCCTAAAGTTCATACAACACAGCCTGAAGAGTTTACTCAAGACAGAGTAGATTCAGAATGGCAACTGCGACACATTGGGTTCTGGAATTTGGAATATATATTTAGTTAATACAACACGCTTCGAAACATATGAGACCATTTTTTCGATGAAAGTAGTACCGTCCCCTGTAGCAACAAGGTGTCTTCCAAACCCAAACTCCATTCTCGTATTGCTGAGCTCGTCGTATATTAAAGTGGTTATTCAGTCTGACCATGAAAGATTCGTGTTTTCGTCCCATCTATTGGGGCATGTGCTCGAAAGGCTTGGCCAGGTGCTCCTGGCAGAAAGGAAGCTTGCCAACTGTCCAGATTTCCGTATCCTACCAGGGACACATGTAGTTAGCATATTTAATCCGATAGCCCGCCTCCTTAATGCACGCACCGGCTTCAGATTCTTCTTGATGTCGGTGTCCAGGGTCCCAGCCTTGATGGCGATGATCTCTGGGGCAGCGTCCGGGTCGTGGGCAATTGGCGAACCGCATTCCGAGCAGAACATACGATGAACAGCCTTTCCAGAGCTTCCATTCTTAGCGAAGCTCTTGATGGGGCCATTGATCTTCAGCTTGTCCTTGGGGACGACCGCAACAAGCGCTGCAGAAGGGTGTAACCATTAGCAAACAACGATTATACGTTAATGTCTCAAGAACCAAAACGCAATAAGAATAAGATTGACAACGTACAGTACGTCGAACCAGTCTGACGCTGGCAGTCATCGCAATGGTCGTATCCAACCAAAGCGGGCTGATCCACATCAATAGTGTAAGTGACCGCGTTGCAGAGGCAGTGACCAGTAAGAGGCATTGTGGCTAATTCGACTGATAAAAATTGATTGGAGGAAAGGTATCACGTTAAGAGTCAACAAGGTGCTCAAAGTTGAGTACCTTTGTAGAGAAATGGCGATGAAGGGGGTTATTTATACCCCCAAATCTCCCCTCCTTCTCCTCCATCTGATTTGGAACCACCAGCCATTATTATGACAACCACTAGTGGCGTCCCCTATTCAATGATGAGCAAATGAAGCTTATGCCGCTGGTCAATTGAAGGATCGGCCATGTTTGGCTCTGGGAAGAATGATGGAGGAGGGGTGCCGCGGTAGAAGCAGAAAGAGTTGCGTCACTGTCGCGCCGAGCTGTTCGCTTTCTCTCCTACTAACCAAAAAGCTCTAAGTAGCGCATTCTAGCTCCTCTGCTGGATTGCCATTTGGCTTCTGATTCGGCCCTGATATTGAGCCATTTGACGGTATTTGTCACTGGGCATCTTTAGTTCAAAGCTTCCGTGGAGTTGCAATCAATCTGCTGGGGCTGAAGGAGGGGCAGCGACCAGCAATCGGCGGTATGGATCAGAATTATCGACAATAGACCACTGCGGGGACCACATTCTACTCGGACATTATGACATTATTTCAAATCGACAGGACAAAGTTTCATTCTCAAATATCTCCGTTGACCCGACAATGAGCTCTGATTGGCGTCCTTTTACCCCTGTCGGGATTCCTAAATCCTAGCCCGCGCAAAGATTTGTCACGCTTGCATAAACAGAGACTCGGTGACAAGCAGTCCAACGAGCTGAAGCAAGACAGCAAAGCCACTAATACCTTAATATTCACACTTTGAAGTATCTGACTAACGATAGATCGAGCCGGTCCGCTTGGAGCTTCATTTTCCGAATCGGGATGCTCACGCTTCCTCCAGGTCAATTGGCTGGCAACCTAGCCCGGACGCAACAATGCACTACAAATTCTGTCCTCTTAAGTGACTCACACCAGTCTATCTCGAGTCTCAGGAGACGGAGTACCCAGTAGTACGAACCGAGACCATCTGGATTGAGGCAAGATCTGGGCTCGCGCATCACCTATCTATACGGCTAATAGCTTCCTCCATCGGTGGGGTATTGCAAGGGTGAAAATAAACACGACCACTCAGATGCGCACAGGGGTTTTCGATCAGATTTTGTCGATCTTTCTATTCCAATTCATATAGTGTTTTGCCCGGATACGACGATCGGCGCGAGTGCCTCTCCTGATTCTGGGATACCCCTGTACGCTGCCCCGATATACTGGATTCAGACACGCCATTAATTTGAATTTCCGGTGTTGCCAGGCCCGATAGTTGTCCAGGGCGTAATGACCCAGGAAGTTCGTTGGCTGATGGGAAGGGATTTTTTTTATTGGCTGCACCATTCGGTCCATGAACCTGCTGCCATTTTTCACGGGGCGAATGCATTGTTTGACCATGCTCCAGCACTGGTAATTCAGCGGACGCTACTGAAAATCTATGCGAAGACGAGGTCGGAGAACCCAAGGAGACAGAGTTGCTTTCCGCACGTTCTTTCAGAAGATTTGCTTTCATGATCAGTCGATCGACCAGCGTTGAATGTGCTTTCTTCAGGGTCTTTTTGACAAAGCTCGTGGCCCAGATCTGACATCGCATCTGGACGTCCTCCCGCAGGTACAATCCCTCCCGGGGGGCCTCTGGTAAGCCCAGCTCGATGGTCTCGCGAGGTTCGCCCGGCATATTCCCGCAGACAGTCCATTTATCACGAATATCGAGTCCCGTCGGTGCGTAGACATGTGTTTGCAGGCCGCGTGGAAGATCATGGAAACAGCCTTTGTAGGTGACATTGCCTTGAAGAAGCCCTCCAGGTAGATATGAGATTCTGTCGGTCAATTCGTACCAAATGGTGTGGAACTCGTCTGCGGGCGCGAAGCTGGGAGGTTTGCATTGAGCGAAATTGATGACCAGAGGATTCAGCTCTATCATCTCCTTATGGTTATGCAGTGTCTCCACAACTATGTCTCTGCTGATGTACGAGGGGAGGGGCGTAATGGTGGTGAAAACAGTCTGTTTGACCATTGTGCTGACTGCTGACGCCTTCCGAAGAAAGCTACTTGGTGCCTATGCGAACTTTGATATCAACAAGCAAGCAGTAAGTCAGGTTATATCAATACAGCAATCACAGTGCACTAGGGATTTGAAATCTTTCCGTCGTGGAATATAATCAAGGAAGAGCAGTTTACACATAAAAACGTCAGAAGCCCAGATTGTTGGGTCTTCTTCAGCCTTCCAGCCTTAATAATAATTGCCGAGTATGGATTATGTGGCTTGGTTATTCTGCTATTTTTACCATTTCTGTGAAACTGAGTTTGGAGCTGGCGGTGCTCACATGGCACCAGTGAGATGCATTTTTGGCCCCTCCCAACCCCGCACCGATCATTGATAGGAGAGGCAAGTCCTGAACAAGCCACGGGCGTTCTGAATCATCGAGTCATTACGAAAGTATACTCTCCGTTGTTGAACAGAGCAATTCAGCTGGACAGTGCTTCGAGGCTTATCCATCAGCATCTGTGTCGGCTTATGGAACTCACCAACCAAAACTCTTCTTTCGTCTTGGTGCCCAACGCTAAGGCTTGTCTAGAATTGCATGAGGGTATGAGACCTAAATTCTGGCAATTTTTAAGGCTGAACTATAGAACTATGTATACTCCGTACTATGAGATGAATCATTATTTCTTGCGAAGGGTTCAGACGCTACTTGTCATGCCGTCATATCTCGAAAAGAGGTCCAGACAACGCCTCTCCTGAAGCCACAAAACATCCGCACGGTGGAGTCTCCAGCCCCCGAAGATCTCTCCTAATCATTCCTGACTGCTGACTCTTCTGACATGCTCTATCTTATCGGCAGCGCTCTAGATAATAGCAGTTTGTCAGTCTGATTACCGAAACCCCAACCCGATATTTCCGCTCACCTGCATCTGAGCCGCCATCCCGCCCGAGGGGTTCTGGCCTCCATACACGAACGATTCGGCTCTCTGCGCTTCTCGTGCATCATCCTTAGTCACATATGCATCAACGCCTGCGTTGACGGGTGGAAGGCCCAGTGCCTCGTTGCGGTTGGCAATGGAGCGAACTTGAGCGGCGACGGAGCCCGCACCAGGTGGCTTGTTAAACGCACGACCCTTGAAAAATCTATCAGAGCCATGGAAGAACAACATCAGCGAGTGGGAGACTGACCTCCGTAGCTTGGATCTCTCGTGCATCCTCCTGGGTGATATGACTCTGCGGCTTCCTCGAGACCTCATCCAACTTCGTGTCAAAGTTCATCTGCCGCATCGCCAGACTCTGCGCCGTTGCTAAAGCGCGATCAATATCGGATGCTCTCCTGTTTTCTACTATCGAAAGAACTAACCTGCAGGTCCTCCTCTCACAGGCCCTTTGCCCGTCAACTCGCTCTCCGCTTGTGCTATGACGGAGACATCTTCGGGTGTGATGCGCTGGCCAACCTCGGCCGCGCGTTTGAGTTCGCTAACAGAAGGGAGATCGAAACTCATACTTATATTACAGTTAAACAGATAGTGACCTATACAGTGAATATTAAAATAGACCTGGTAGTTGTATGTTGTTTAAATCTATGTGTCGCCTCAAGTTGGGATGAACGAACAGTGACTGTGATGTCACAGTGAGTACATCCCGCCATAGAGCACAAAGACGGCAACAATTGCATAACAACAGCAATAACAATGCACCATTTTGATATTATGCTTGCCACCTTAGTCATAAGAGGTAGTTTACAGGAAATCGGTTTGTTTCTGATGAGCCCTTCGTCGAGAGTACTATTGAAGATAACCATCTACCCAATCGGCTTCTAGCGCTGGCAAAAGGGTAGTTATTGGTAGTTTAGATAGAGTCTGGCGGTGCACTATGTACCGGAGTCTAACGATGTACGCATTGGCGGTTGCTTCTTGCAAGATGGTATCAGTGGATCTCTTAGAAGAACGGGCATATAGAGTACTGAGACGAACAGGAAAGCTTCGATCTATTCTGAGCGATCGATAGTGATTCTTGATCAAGATAACCTAGACAGTAGGTGTCTCCATGGCCGTATGCCAAATCGATTACCAAACAGGCTCCAGGTATAGCAGAAGTACTGCAAATCCCACCACTTAGGCGATAGCAGCCAAAATTGGAAGTGCCCCCGATGATTTCTATTGGAGGCTCTGTGCGACTCAGCCACGAGGATAAGTAACCTGCCCTCACAGTCAATACCAAATTTCGGCTCGCCGTAAGCTATTGCGACACCTATAACTGTGAGGATCTAATGTTCCGCAATAGTCGAGATTGCGGGACCCAAGTCCTATTTCTGGAAAAGAGTAGTAGGATGTACTCCTCGATATGCACAGTGAGTTGTCAATTGTGACACAGCAACAAGGTGTCCGGTTCATGGGACAAGCTGAGTTGAGACATCCAAATCCTAAACCAAGCCTTGTTCATGGCGAGTCGTATCCGTCATCTGGTAGGTAATAGTACCCAATGCGTCTCGTCCACATATGAGACTGTAGGATCCTCAGTCAGACAAAGAAGTTCAAGGTCCCTGTAACCGTGATATCGACATTGTTACCCTTGAGGATCCCCGCGGAGACTTGCATCGAGTATCACAGCGTCGCAGGCTGAGAGAGAACATTTGATGGCATGTCAATTGTAGAGGATCAGATGCGATTGAGGTGTGCTCATCCTACCCTGGACAACCACACTCTTAACAGTTCAGACGGATCGGGCATCTTGAAGCCATGTTGTCCAACATGTTCCATTAACAGATGTAGGGCTTGTGTGACAGCTGAAGTGCTGCATTCAGACATGTGACAGGTGGCCAAGCTGTATCCATTCAGCAAGACAGAGGAGAGCTTGGAATCTTGGATTACCTGCACACTTGGTTGCAAATTCATCTTAGATTAGACCTCTAGCAGACTCAATCAATGTAGACCTTCCGGACGTCCATTGGACATGTCGGGAACATGTTTGCTGATGAATCGCAGGCAATCCTGCAGCATCGAAGACAGCCAAATTTGGTAAGCATGGCAAAGGGCTTCAAATTTGGCCATAAACTCTGTCAGTCATTATACTGTGGTAGCAGGATCGTCACTGATAACAACCGAATGTCCAAAGGGTCTGGCGCAATGCCCCCGCCACAGTGGCTTTGACCTGGGCGATGCGCACATCAGTAGGCACAATGCTGAATTGCTTGAGGGGTGATCAGCCCTGACGTTCCTTTTTATACAGTTGCCGGGGCGTTTAAAAGAGAGGAAACCGAGCCTTGCGATCAGATTCGCTATTGAGACTCATGAATCCCAACGGTACTATGCTGTTGTTGCTCGGTGCTCCTTCTTCTGGGGAAAAGCCGGAGGGCCAATCGGAGCTACATATCTCCGACCCGACTGCTTATCTCCGTGCCGGTTCCGGGCCTGATGCTAGGGTATAACTATAGCGTCATTGTCAACAAAACCGGGTAGAAGTTCGAGAAAAGGGATACCTATGAGTGAGATGGAACGCCGAGTCATGGCTTGAACTATTATTTTTGAGAGTTGTAATAGGCTTTTAGAGGTCAGATCTGAATCGCGTAGACCATAAGATCCGTAATCACCACTTATATCCCCGAATCCTCGTCTAGGAAACGTCTCGTGTTACATGAATCTCTCCAATAACTAGTAGTAGCCTCGCTAAAGGATGGTATGGGACGCGACTTGCTAAGTGAATGTTCAATCCCTATCCTAAGACTACCTTAGCCTCAGCCCCAAAACTCGCCCAAGCAGTCCTCTTCCCAGTTAATGTCAGTCATCGCCAGCAGTCCTGAGGTTTTCTCCACCAGTCACGGACATTATGGCACTATCTCCGAAGGCCCAATCTTCTTCAACTCGTAGCTCTTCTCGCCAGTCCAACTGTCATCGCGAAGAGTACCAGGGAGAGAGCTCCTTTACACTGTCAGTGCAGGAGCAGAATGCAGAGTCCCTCTTACGTTGCTCCCGATACATGCGAATGATAGCAGATGAAATGGACCCCCAGTGAGATTCCTCACCCCTTCTCGAACATTCCAGGGTGGGTTCCATGAGCAACGCTAACAAAGAAGCTTATCTTAGATCTTCGCTTAAGCGAGCCAAGAAAGCATGCACGGAGTGCAGACAACAAAAGGTAAGCCTCTGCTTACTGAATGCTGGAGTGCATGGCCTGCTCCAAGTGTTTCTCCATGACTAACTAATAGTCAAAAGCACAAATGCGATGCGTACTTGAACCCCGAGCAGCCTTGCACAAGGTGCCGAAAGTCCCAGATTAAATGTGTCATCTCGGACCCTTTTCGAAGGGAGCATAAACGCCAGTATGTTTTGCGCCACTTGTGTGGTTTGTGTTGACTGAAGGCTGACGAAATCTACGCAGGCGTCGAGCCGAACTGGAACATGAGACGAATGAGCTCCGTCGACAGTTGCAAGCTGCACAGGCCCCAAACCATCATGCTTCCCCCATAGCCATGCTCACAGCTGCAGCAGAGATGGGAGTGCACTCTGCAAGCAGCGAGGTTGCATTACGTCTGCCTACCCCTTCTGCTACTGCTCTTCCTACTCCGCCGGCTTCTGGTCCTTCTCCTTGTGCCGCTGCTCTTCCTGTTCCATCGTATGCCCAGCAACTGCTATCCTCAGCAGGTCTAGGAGAGCCTTTAGCCCAAGTGGATATCGAGCCGGACGATCATCGCCTAGAGCCGACCGTTCCTCGCACCTTGAATAACGTAACAGTGAAAGCAGCGGAGATCGATGATCTGTTCCAAGTGTAAGTCAATGACAGCAGTAATTGGACGGTGGCCCACCAAGTCTATTTACAACGCTGATTGCGATGCTACAGGTTCTTCCGTGAATACTCGCAATTCCTTCCCATCCTCGATATCGGACTGACCCCCAACGCATACTACACACAATCTCCTTTTCTGTTCTGGGCTGTTATTGGGGTTGCGTGCAGGTCTTACCCGAAAAACCCAACTCTACTGACGGCTCTCTCTTGGGGCATTGTTGAGATGGCTTTACTCTCAGCCTTGT